GAGAAACATTTGTTAAAAAACACTATTACCCGCTGAATAATGAAGCCACGCCCACCAGCGTAGCAACAGTTAACATTGCTTGACGACGGGTGTTATTCCAAAAAATATTGACTGCGCAGAATTCATGCGCGCAAGCTTCACTGTAATATGTATTTGTATAAAACATTCAGTATAATATAATAAATACTGCATGTAGTTGAGTGTAACATTGAAAATTTTCACCCCTCGAAAACCATTGTCAACCTCGGCTGCGCCTCGGTTGAAAATGGTTTTTTTGGGGTGAAAATTTTCAATGTTACACTCAACTACATGCAGTATTTATATACTACCTTATAAAACATCATGATTTTTTTTTTATCTTAACTTCTTTGCTACTCATCAGAAGAATAGAAACTTATTGAAAAGTAGACATTTAGGTACATAAAGGTATTTATTGTCTCAAATAACAGGAATACAAGTGGAATGTACATGCATACGGATAACATTTGAAAGAAGTTAATATGACATGATATTGAAGATTCTTTAAATGGTTTTAAATTAAAGTGAAAGTAAGTAAAGAAAACAAATTGATGTGATTGACTTAAATGCTGGGAAGCTGTGACTGTGTAAAGGTTACATGAATTAATTGCAAATGCATAGAAGATCAGAAATGCCGATAGACAAAAATAGGATAGCTACTCATAATACCAACTGAAATAATTAAAAATGAATATCTATATTGATATGAAATCAATTTATAAACAGTTTTTTTTTTTTTACTTTTTCAACCTTTCTCTATATTTTTTGTGGTAGAACGAATGAGAAAAATTATTAAATTGTTAAGCAACAAATTAATTTGACACCCTTATAGCGCCCTCTTTCGTCTTAATAGGCGTAAGCATAATGCAAGCTTGCACAATTTGCAAATCAAGAAAGTACAATTTACATTTCACCAGATGACAAATCGCAAGTCTTGAATTACACGTGAGCATTGACATAACTTGTATTTAAATTTCACACTTGTCACGTTGTGTTGGATAGTTACAATTAACAAATTGTGATAGAACAATTGACAAATAATGAAATTACAATTTACAAATTAAGGTTTACAAGTGTACATTTTAGCATTTCGTAAATTTTATGGTCATTATAATGACCTTGTTGGCAAATATAACCTATCATTGGGTCGTGTTTTGGCTGACTTGTTTCATCAATTGTTAGGCCTTTCTTTTTGTTCTAAATTGACTACGGATAGTTCCGTCTACCTGATCAATACAAAGGGCTCAGGGCGGGTGTGACCGGTCAACAGGGGATGCTTACTCCTCCTAGGCACCTGATCCCACCTCTGGAATATTCAGGTGCATATGTTTTATGCCCTCTTCATATATTTGTTATGTTTGTTGATTTTATTTTTTAGATCGATCACTGTTCGTTATCTTAACCTTCTATATTTAAGAAATTGGAGTTGGGATTTTGAACTCGTTGGCCTTCCATAATAACTTGCATGGTCAATAAAAATTTAAGGGTAAAATTACACGATGTAGAAATGAAAAAAAGGTGTAAAATAAGTAACATGTGATATAGTTTTGTCATCATAAGGATATCAGTTTCGAAAATTCCCTTTAATTTCTATTTCTTTTACTTTGTTTATTATTTACTTTTCATTTTCTATCATATATTTTATTTTATATTCATTATTCTTGAGCTGATAGGATATTGAAATTACCCCCCCCCCCCACGATAAAACCGTTAAAAGGTCTATTATATAGTTCTCTGAAGAATTAAGTTCCTAGTTTTGATTTCAAACCTGTAAAAATTTTGGATTCCTTTCCTGCTGACAATATTTGCCTCCCACCACTCTTTAATTTAGAGATTAGCATTAACTGTACTTTGATTGGCCTCAGTCTAAAACCATTTAAAAAACAGTCTGTAATAAAAAATAGAATATAATGGTAAAAAAACATTTGTTGAGTATTTAAAGCTCTTAAATTGGCCTTCAAAGGAAAAGGCGCAAAAATCAATTTGCAACTGAAAAGAAAAACTGGGCAAAAAAGAAAAACTAATCTCATGAAACTCGTTGATTGAATTCAGCAGCTTTAAGAAGGTTTGACTTGAAAGTGTTATCTTGCTCAAAATAATCCTCTGTCCATTTTTCACAAAAAAGAAATTAGTTAAAGCAATATGAGCTGCATTTTGGAAATTTCATTTTGCTGTTGAAATGTGTTGTTATGATAAATCTATATGTTACTTAAACCTTTATGATTAATAAGAATAAAATAAAGTATGAAATTGTTTCAGATGAAATATTTCTGTACAATGGAATATATACAGTATTATACAAGAAATCATTATTGTACAGGATAACAATAATGTAAGTTTGCTTCAATCAAAGCTTATAGATAATTCTTCCATCATAAATATGAACAACAGACGTTTATAAACATTCTTTTTTCTGTCATTGAAATTATAGTTGATTACAATTTTGCCACAAAAAATTCCGACATTAAAGTTACAGCTCATATTGCTTTAACAAATCACCCAAACAAACACTTTTTTTTAACAAATCATGCCAAAATCACATAAAAATCATATCAAACTCACAAATTCATGATTTTGAACTATGACTTAGACATGATCCATTAAATGGATCATACAGAAATCATAGATGACAAATAAGGAAGTATGATCCTGATGTGGTTTGTTTCTTGGCTATGAGTCTGCTATGATTTTCTTGCGATTCTGGCATGTGCCATTAACTTAGAAAACAAAGGTACATGAGTTTGAAATGATTCGTTAACTTTAACTGCTAAAAGTTTGTGATTTTGATATGATTTCTTAACTTTGCCTTTAAACTCCATACGAGTTACACATGATTTGTTAACTTCTCCGTTAAGAATCATGAGTTTTATATGATTTGTTAACTTTGTCAGAATTGGTTGTATGATCCTGATATGGTTTGTTAACTTTGTCATCTATGATAGATGAAAAAGCAAGCTTTAAATTCACTCCAGCTTGGAGAACCAAACAACATGCATACATCAATAATAGCCATATTTAAAAGAGAACAGGAAAATTAAGTTTTAATAATTAAAAATTCATACAGGTAGGTACAAAGTTCACTGAAGACAAAAAATATTTAAAAAAAAAGTCAAATGAAATAACAAATAAATAAATACAATAATTAATAAATAAATTAGCACACTGTTTAAATAACGCAGCCTGTTTTTTTTTTTTTTTAATCTTTGTCTTCATATAATATTTGTGATCCACTCCCATTTTAACTCTAAGGCATTAGATCAGGATTGGCTCACTGGTCAGTTTCAGTGTCATGGTAACCTTGTTATGCAATTCTCCTGCTGGGCAGCACGCTGTAGTGTACAGTGGTTTGCAGCTTATCTAGGCCAAAATTTGAATTCTGATAAACAAGATGTGCGCGTTTTCTTGTTGCCGATTTAAAAGAAAAGACTTTGCATCATATAAGCAACAAAAATAAGCGCTGGACTATAAACTCTGCTCGGTGAGTATAATTCCTTTATCATAGTCTTTTTCAAAAGACTTTTCTAGCTTCTACCAGAATTTTTCTTTGTATAAGTGTGGAAGAGACAAAGGATTACATGGATTTGAATTGAAAATTTAATTTAAACATCAAATTTACCTCCTTGATTCAATTTACCTCCTTGATTCAAGTATTCGTTGCATACATGTAATGTTAATCATTATATAAAATGTTTATTAGAAATGAAATTCTTTTGCAGCTAGTTGTCAGTTCCATCCACATGATCAACATATTTGAATTTCTTTCAAATTGTCACATTCGAAAGGCCCGTCTTTGGTGAAGACAAAATTTGTGTACGTTAATAATATTACATTTCAACAATATTATTCTTATCGTGATTAATCTAATTCTTTTCATTAATGAAATGGGGAAAGTACTTGAATATTCCACATTTTCATCATCTAAAGACAATTATATGTAGATCGATGAATAAACACCATTTTCTCTACGTTTCTTTTCAGGTTATGCTATACAAAACAAGAGCTTATATCCGAGGACAGACTACTTGGGAGCCTTTTCAGTGTTTGTGATTCTAAATAATAGATTTACCACTCTGTTGAGCCTATAGTGAACATATGTTGTAATTACGTGCTTTTGCAGAATCATAAATGAGCAGTGACATCAATGAATGCCGGATTATTCTTTAAGAAGAAAGGATTTCTGTGACTCTATTCTTTTAAAATTCAGTGAATAGATTGGATTAAATGTTTTTTTTCTTTAAAAATTGTCATCTGATTAAGGAAGATCCATTGTTCGGATTATATTTGCATGATGATATAGTTCATGTGACATATATGTTTAATATTTTTTTTTTTTATTTGTGGTAACTGAAATTGTAAATCAAATATAAAAGGGATGTTTGTTGCAAATTTTAAAGTGTTCAGTAATTTGTATAAGAATGTATAATTGTCCTATGAGTTGTTAGCTTTAACAGATTATACCAGGATCATGGTTTTAATACGATTTGTCAGCTACAACAGATCATACCAGGACCATGGTTTTAATACGAGTTGTTAGCTACAACAGATCATACCAGGACCATGGTTTTAATACGAGTTGTTAGCTTTAACAGATCATACCAGGACCATGGTTTTAATACGAGTTGTTAGGTACAACAGATCATACCAGGACCATAGGTTTAATACGAGTTGTTGGCTACAACAGATCATACCAGGACCATGGTTTCCTTGCAAGTTGTTTAGTTTAACAGATCATCCAAGAATCATGATCCATTAGCTCATTTGCATGTGAAATTTTCCTATACCTAAATCATATCAAAACCATGATTTACACACGAGTCATTAGCATGATCCCATAGGCTGTTTTTTCCTGTTTGGGCAGGTTGTAAAACTAACAACAGTGATCAGAATAAGTATATTTCTCACCCCTTTGTGAGCCCCACATCACATGTCGATCTATGAGAATCGACATAAATAAACAAGTTTCGTTTTATGACGGTGGTAAACAACGTTTTATTATAGGACAGGTAGGCAGAATGTGCAGTTAAAAATAACATTCGGTTAAATTATAACCTGAATTACGCTCTATAAAAGTGGCAAACAGAGAAGACGTAATTTTTGTGTGAATTCCCACGAGCAGTTTCCTTCTTCGCATCAAGGAAGAAAGGATTGAACAACTGAACGTGTGTAGACATATTGTGTAAGATTTCTCAACATTACTTTGTTTGGTAAATTAATTAAGAATGGAAGGTGCCGTAACAGACTTTTCTTTTCGGCTATACAAAGTTTTGTCCGAGGGAAATGGAAATTTGTTCCTGTCTCCGTACAGCGTGTCGGCCGCCTTAATGTTAACTATGCTGGGTACCAAAGGGGAATCTGAAGCTCAAGTTAAACAGGTTTTGGGTCTCTCCGGAATTCCTGATCCACACAAGGCGTACAAGAAACTACATTCTACTCTGACTGGGAAATCTAAAGAAGGGGCCAAGCTGGCCATTGCTAATAGAATATTTTCGAAACTCGGACTGGATATCAGAGAGTCTTACAAGAAGGAATCGTTAGAATATTATAACAGCGAGATGGAGCTGTTAGATTTTGTAGGAAATCCGGAAGGGTCAAGAACCAGAATAAACACGTGGGTTGAAGAACAGACTAATAATAAAATCAAGGATCTGATTCCCGCAGGGGGGATTAATGCTTTGTCTTTGATTGTCTTGACAAATGCAATTTACTTTAAAGGCGATTGGGAAAATGCATTTCAGTCATCAAAAACAAAACGTGAAAAATTTCACATTTCCGAGACAGAATCGGAAATGGTTGATATGATGCATATGGAAAAGAAGAAATGGCTATTCAGTGTTTCTGAATCGTTAGACTGCAAAATGTTGAATCTTCCGTACAAAGGAGAAGAACTGAGCATGCTCATAGTTCTTCCAAATAAAATAGACGGGCTGTCCAAATTAGAATCAAGCCTCACCTCGGAAACATTTCAAGAACTATCAAAAGAATTTTTTCGAGAGGATGTAATCGTCTCCATTCCAAAATTTAAACTTGAGAGTTCATTTGAGCTCGATAAAGTTCTTGCCGGAATGGGTATCACCGACATTTTCTCCAAAAAAGCCGACTTCAGCGCCATGATGGATAATCCGCCAGAGGGCACTTTTGTATCTGACGTCATTCACAAAGCATTCGTTGAAGTTAACGAAGAAGGTACGGAGGCCGCAGCGGCTACGGCTGTTATGATGAGACTGATGTGCATGCCAATGGAGCCCATAGTGTTTAAGGCAGATCACCCCTTCTTGTTCCTCATCAGGGAAAATTCTACCGGAACAGTATTGTTCATTGGTCGCTTCAGTAAACCAGCTTAATAATCGTACATATGTATTTTTAACATGACTTCATTAGACAATGAATCTTTGTATAATATATATCAAGTCTATAATTTATGTATTTGTATATCATTCTTTTAGCGGATAAACCATATAATTGGGGGGGGGGGGGGGCTACCTAAGTTTTTGGAACTTGTGTCCAATTCTTTTGACGTATTCTAAATAAAATATTTTCAACACCAAAAAAAAAAAATTCCCTTATTTTTGCCATGATTTGTGCATTTTACTTTATGCAGAGATTAATTTGTACAGCTCATCACATTGCAGACAAGGACGATGTGCGAAACTGACAGAAAGGTTATTCAGTATTTTGATAATTAATAAAGAAGGTATAGAATAGGTTAAATGTGTATATTTACAAATTTTACATGTTTTGATAAAGAGTTTTTCTGAAAAATAGTGGTATACAAATGATTTTGTTAATGTACACTATAACTAACAAAACAGCATTTAGGTTGATTTCGTTTTGTTAAGTTGTTCAAAAAGCTAGCATTTAAAAATATCTTACGGAGAAAATCGTTTTCAAGTCAACTTAACCTTTTTTACACTGTGAAATCATTAAATTTCGAGGAGGTTAATTTTCGTTATTTTTACGAAGAAACTCGTGAATTCATGGATTCATCATGTGTTAAATTTTCAAACTACAGTTATCATTTCCGTTCTGTAACCTCATGAATCATTTTCGGTACAAACGAAAGGCCGACCCCACTAAAATAAGTAACTTAGCAGTCTCTAACCTAGTCTAAAATTTAAAATGTTAATGTCCAGCACTCCAAGAATGTTTCAAACGTCTAAAAAAGTCACTGTTAATGACACTCTTGATCATCCATTTACATGTAGCTCATATGTAGGATTAATTACTGGATTTCCCATCGCCTATTACTGTTTTTATTCGTGCATTCATGTACACCACGCCCATATCAAAATTCCACAGACATCCTTCTTCATAAGCATATCTTCTCTAGGTAATTTTTTATTCCTACCTTAAAACTTTATTATGTTAATAAACTTGTTTATCTTATAAACCTGCCTATGTGTTCCATGCTTTGAAAATTATTTAAAAGACGTTTAAAAAATACCATGACTGATTAGTTAGATGTTGCAGAAAAGGTAAACCTTGTAGAGAGAAGAACGACATGATGAATGTGTCTGCCAGTAAATTATCCAAGGCCCACTTTAGGACAGAAGAACTGTGTTAATTATTTGGACTTTTTCATTCAATTGTGATGAATCTTTTATTTTATTTTCAAAACTTTATGATTTAAATACACATCCTTTAGTATACCTGTTTTTTTTAATATGTTAAGCAAAGTGTTTTTAGGCGTAATTTACAGAAAAATTAAGGAAAAAATATATCCTTTTTTGTTAAAGTGTACGAAAATCACGTTTTGAGTCTGGAGTTAAAAATGGACTGCCGTTTCACTAACTAGTAGATTGATAGAAAGGATTTGTTGCGTTACATTTCAAATATTCGTAAATTGAAAACAACTCATATATACATTTCTACGGAAGCCGGTTGGTGCCAGGTAGAAAATTTTTTTATCTGGCGGCCGCCAGATCTTTTTACCCGGCGGCCGCCACATAAATACCTGGCGGCTGCCAGAAACTTATATGGCGGCCGGCAAATATTTTTCTGGCGGCCGACAGTTAATCTTCTGGCGGCCGCCAGAAAATTTATATGGCAGTCGCCAGAAAGTTATCTGGCGGTCGCCAGATAATTATTTGGCGGCCGCCAGATAAAATATTTTTCCTACCTGGCACCAACCGGCTTCCGTACATTTCTGAAATCAAGCGTTGTTATAGAGCATCACCTTTTTTAATTCAAGATTTTCTTTATAAAGAAAAAATAAATAAATTACTTCTTCCTAAGTTTAATTCGGATAATATTTTGACCAGTCACAAGCACCATACAGGACAAGTCACTTCATGACACAAAATATGCATCATTCGATTTGAAAAATAATGGCAATTGTTTTTAAAGAGATGGTATTTTCCAAATGCAAGGTGGTATTTAGAAGCACATCTCCGTAGACAGTCAAAAGGCAACTTGGAGTACCCGGCGGGCTGCAAATTGAGTTTTGGGCCACAATATGGGTATCTAGGACTGCGTGTGCGTAAAGTTGTCTCCTTGGTACCAAACTCAGCAAACCAGCCATCGTAGTATATAAAGCTATGTACAAAACTGTGGACGGGGATCTTCAGGGAGCGCTTTTTACGATGTTTACCAAGAGTTGTCAAAAACATACATGCTAAATTATTGGTTCCAAAGAAGAAGGGCTTTGTTCCAGCTGTAAAAAAGTAATAAAAACACACGAATAAATACGAATTCAATACATACGTTCGGTGAAATTAGAACAGACCGATATACTCATCAAAAACGTTAGCTTAGGCCAAAATAAAAAATACCTTTGTTTCCCCTAACGCGACCGACCCATTTGAAACGCGCCGACTGGAAAGTTTTCTTCATAAGATTATTCCAATATTTTTTATGTTTATCAACTTTTATAAAATAGAATTCCATCAAAATCCGTTTTTATCAGAACGATGGATTTTGTTCTGTGAATTTCAAGCGTTTGTTGGAAACAAAATGGCGCCCACAACATGTCTCACGGAGGATTAGTTCATGTTTTAAAAGTAAGACGACCAATCAACCTTATGCCTTTAGCATTGAAACATTTTGTTAATAAAATATAATATACAATGACCTATTAAGCGTGTTTCGGTTGTATTAACCAACTTTCTTAAAATTAAGTACGTAGGGCCAAAATAAAAAATACCTTTGTTTCCCCTAACGCGACCGACCCATTTGAAACGCGCCGACTGGAAAGTTTTTTTCATAAGATTATTCCAATATTTTTTTTTTATGTTTATCAACTTTTATAAAATAGAATTTCAAGCGTTTGTTTTAAACAAAATGGCGCCCACAACATGTCTCGTCACGGAGGATTAGTTCACGTTTTAAAAGAAAGACGACCTATCAACCTTATGCCTTTAGCATTGAAACATTTGTTAATAAAATATAATATACAATGACCTATTAAGCGTGTTTCGGTTGTATTTACCAACTTTCTTAAAATTAAGTACGTAGAGAGCATGCTTAGGCCCGTAGGCCCTCCTCATGATACACCTCTTGATCAGACAAGGGGCCCACCTTGCGAACAAACCAAACATTTTATTTAATTTGAGTTTTGATCTTATGAACAGTTCATCCTATGTTAAAAATATGGGACCATAAGAGTTGTTAAATAAGTCTGCATATTTCATCCTAATGAATAGAGTTTAAAATCCTTTCTTCATGCCTTTTATAGATGGTTTTCCATCGAAGTGATTTAAGCAAGAGTTATTTCCCCATGGCTGCCGTATTGTAGGTCAACATGCCAGATCCCTTCATTATTCAACCAAGTTCAACTTTCTATACTGGGCACTGAGGTGAAGATAACATCGTTTTTCTTATATATGAATATACGTTTGTTGAAGCCTATTTAGATTCATAATTTCAATACTGTACATATTTTTTCCAATACATGTATGTATCTGCCATACATGTTTAAAATTGGTTGCTCAAAGAGGAAACTTCACTACTTTGACCTACAAGATGGCGGCCAACGGGAATAACTCTGAGGCAAAATATGTCATAGGAAAACTATCTATTCATGGGTTAAACTTCATGACTTTGACATTGTGTATGACATTTTATCATTTTTAGATATGGTTTGTCTCAATTAAATATGGGCAACATACTTTTTTCAAGTAGATTTGAAACTATGATACAAGATTCCTGAGACGTCCGTGTATTTTTCTTTAATAAGGCCCTTGAAGATTGGTTGTTTCTTTGATTTGAATTCCTTTGATAATTATTGGGACAACAACATTTTTCTGGTGAAGGGCTCAAAATTTAGACTTATACGCGGCACGAGGCCATTGAGCAGTGAGGGATCTTTTTCTTGCCAGTATCTACTGCGACACTGGACCTAAGTTTTTAAGGTCTCATTCGAAGAACCGGTCTCAACGTCCCGCATTGGGATTTGAACCTGTAACTTAGAAATAGCTCCTTACTTTGAGACTCCAAAACGAAATGCTCCAGAACCACTGCACAATTCGAAGCCTTTGAAATGCATATATAAGCACTGGAAGCTGATAGTACGTAGGTATGAAAAAAATACTCGGATGTCCGGTTTATGCGTACCCGAGAATTTTTTACACAGAAGTATTCAATTTCAACAAATTTACTCTAGTATGAGATATTTCAAAAGTTCGATTGAATAATAGTAATGTTGTGAATTGATTTTAAATGTTAGTCTAAACGGCATTTGTATGGTATTCCAGCTGTTTACAAATCGCTTTCTTTTGTACTTAACTTATTTATAAAGGTATCATTCCACTAAATTTTAAGAATGTATTTTCAAAGCTGCTGTCAAAAAAAATAATTGCCTACCTACCTACCCAACTTGAGATTTTTGGGTCGGGTTAGGGGAAACAAAGATATTTTTAATGATGGCCTTATCATGTAACACTAACACACCTAATAATTACTTTCTGTAGTAGAGGTTCCTATGGTGATGGTGGTGGTGGGGGGGGGGGGATTATTATTTAACTTACCTTTCAGTAAGGAGAAAACCTGACGGGAAAAACATCGTCAATTGGTGACTTGTCTTCTGAGACGAAATGTTGTCATGCGAAGACTAACCGTCCAAAACGTGAATCTAGGCAATATTAGTTGACTAACTTTCCAGTCTGATAACATTTATAAATAAGTTATGTAGCTACTTATTTATTTGTTTGGAGTAGTCTAGACATATTAACTTTGAACTGAAGCTGATGTTCTTAAACGAAAATCAGTTTGAATCGATGTGTCAATCTGGTGTACCGTTTGATACAGGGCACTTAAGACGGACTAATTCTGATATGTAGTTACATACCTTTATTTTGTAAGGAACAGGCTGGAGTATTTAAAACTAGTTACGGGGGTTTTCCACTCTTGGTATATGGAGTGGCCCAGACATTAATAACTTACTTTCAAGACAAAGCAGTCTGCCATTACGTATCGCTTGGTACAGTACAGGCGGATTAACACTATTTGATGTAAGGCGACTTACGTTCTGGAACGGAACAATCTGGACGAATGGGATGGATACTTAGGTTAATACTGTGTGGAACTATGATCGTATTGACTGTTCCTATACAGAAAAGGAGTACTCCAACAAAAAACAATGATGTCACCTATATAACAAAAATATATATACGTGTATTTATTACATACATTCACATGTAAGCAATTTTAATGTTGCATGTTTTAGCAGGCCCGTAGCAACGATTTAAAAAGTGTGTGTGGGGGGTGGGGGGTGGGAGGGCAACTTCCCAAAAAAAATCTGACAAGCAAAAAAACCTAAATTGACCAAAAGTGAGCTAGGGGGCCAACTTCCCAAAATAATCTGACAAGCCAATTAAAAAAACGTAATTAACCGTCCAAATCCTGGGATTTTGCCAGTCGACCTTACTGCAACAAAAAGTGTGTGTGTGTGTGTGTGTGAGGGGGGAGGGGGAACCAGCATATAAAGAAAGAAATACTATAGGAAAATACTATACTCAGAAAAAGTCCCCCCCCCCGCCTTCTACGGGCCAAGCTGTTTAGAAAATTATAAAATTTAGAGAAAGTTAACTCTGGTCCCAGAATCCTCTTAACTATGATTTAATGATCAGTGTATTGTTCCTTATTTGTGATGTCATCATTGTGTAGGTGAACAAATAGACCGTCTACAAAACTAGGAAAACAACGTTCAAGTGATTTGCTACTGCTGCTAATGTTTCTGCTTCTCTGGATCCTTTGGACAAAAAGACAGGCACTTTCAGAAACGGCTGAGAATCCAATTCATTTTCTAAGAAATTAATTTGTTATTCTCTCAAACTTTTTCTCCCCTAAGTTGTTCCAGTGAGAAATTGGTCCCCAAAAATTAAATTAATAAAGCAATAATAGATAAATAACTTTAAAATTTGAAACATTTCATTTCATTTGCATTTAGCTTGTTAGTCACTCAAATTAGTAAAAATTAATCGATGAAATGTTTTGAAGATCTTTAGTTACTCCATTTGAACATCTGATACAAATTATAACATGAAATTTTGATACTAGTATGTAAAAAAAAAAAAAAAAAAAAAAAAAAAAAAAAAAAAACTGGTTTAAGATAATTGAATATTTTGGTTTTATTTTTGTTTAATTTCAAAAAAGAAAAAGAAAAAAGAAAATATAACAGGTCATTTGGGGTAATCCATCTTTGATACAGGAATGGCATTCCCAATTTTTTCATCGTTCATATCATTTCACAACATAATAGCAATTAACCAACATGACATCGATCGACAGAAATGCAGTAATTGTACACACATATCATATTTTCAGAATATCAACATTCAAATACATTGTTTGAATTCACAGATTTACAGGCGTATTAAAGTAGTGAAGAGAAAATTCAAATTTTGAACCTAATAAACTCAATGAAATTGAAAAAAATGCTGGAGTTTTGTAAATTTTGTTCTATTTTATAAATTATTTTATCGAGGCTTTTGAAAATAATATTCAAATAAATGTACATATTTTGCCAACTTTTTATCTTGATTATGAATTCAACACGAGCGACTGAATGATATGCAAAGGAATAATTATCTGCCGTTGATATTAATATGAATTCAAAATGAAATTACATATTTTAATAATCCGTTATAGTTATAGGAACTCTGAAGTGTTAATTATTACTAGACTTACCATGATGCTTAAGAAAACTCGATGTTCAAATCCGTGTGTATAGAAATGTGAATCGCCGATTTTTTCGACTTTAAATGTAAACCGCAACAATTTATGGAGATTTATAATTTGCATATAATTATTTTTTTTTCTTTCTACTGCTCTGCATCATGTATCTTGTAGTATATATCTGTATAAAAAACTTTAAATGTTAATTAAATAATCAGTTAATTGTTAGGTAATTCGTCAGCTAATAGTAAAAGGAAGTAACGTTAATAATATTGAGTAATGAAGGAAAAATATTTTCATTTAAAAAACTTGAGAGATAGGTGTCTTTTTCAGGTGCATGTCACATGTAAAATCGCTTGGCTGATTTTAAATCTTTTTAAATTTTTAAATGCTGTTACACATTGTATATACTTACAAATAAACTTATACTCAAATCATCTTGGCGAATTCGTTTATTTAATAGTAAGTAAAATATGAATTTGAAAGTATTTAAGAATTCTTTATCATTTATATAATAAAGGTGTTACTCAAATGCACCTTTCTATTATACTAATTGTAGACTTTACTGAAGAATACAAGAAATAAACAAAATTAACAATTAAAAGAGTTCATGGGGTGTGTTACCTATAAATTACGAAGTACAGAATTAATTTAAAACAAATAACTGAAACAAATCACATCAAGATACTTTGATCTTAAATTTAGACAAGCAAAAATTGAGGCCACCATTTTATCATAAAGATACTTAATACTATTTTTTGTTAGCTTTTGAAATTTTCAAAAACTTTTCTTGAACATTCTGTTTTCCTTGTGTTGCATAATTTAAACATTTATATGCACACATGAAAATACACGTGCTGCACTCTAATTCAGTACATTTTACTTTTAATTAATGTCTTCCATAATTTAAAGCAGTGTTTTAAGTAAGATCAGTACATTTTAGGACAAAAAAAAAACCATTGTTTTTGTGTGTGTGTGGGGGGGGGGGGGGGGGAGTGTCTATCTAAGATTAGAAGATTTGCTGAAATGTCAGGCAGGTAGTATCATATGGGCCATTTTTCCAAAAAATACACGCAACCTTTTACTGTTGAAAATGATCATTAAAAAGTGGATGCCCCCTCCACTTTTTATTGCAGCAAAATCAAAATCAGGGTTATTGGCAAAGTTTAAAGAAAATTTTGGTTGTTAAAGAAGTTGAAACCTAACATTCTCACCCCACCCCGAAATTGAAGATTTGAGTCTGGGCAAAAACGTTCCACGCCTCTCTGACGTAATGACAACCAAGTAAGGACAAACAAAATTGGTAAAGGACCCTCTATACTCTAAAGAAAAAAAAATGGACATTCAAGTAAATTATGCATATAAACGTAAAGGTACATATACTGAGTATATCTTCTTTTTAAATATTGCGTACCTGCCATTATCCTTAAAGAAAGAAAGCAAGGACCGTCGTAAATTATCCACCCCCCCCCCCCCCAACTGTGTTTTCTTCTTTATGCCTTTGTATCTTTTTATAACCACAAATATTTTGACGTATGAATTCATGCCCTTTTTAATAAGTTTCAGTACATTTTTAACGTTGGTAAAAGCCTGCAAGATAAGCAGAGATGAAATTAAAAACAATGTACCGTATTTACTCGCGTATAAGTCGTTCCGCCTATACGTGCAAGTCGGTTGTATTTTTTGCGGTTATTTTGGAAGGATTTGCCATTGACCCGCTTATATGTCGGTACAACTTTTTGCCAGAATTTGCTGACAATTTCAAATCAATGCTCTGATGTTTTAATCTGGTTCCAATCAATATTTTTAAAAAATTAAGTCGATATTTAATTTTAAATCATTAAAAAAAATAAATTACGCACACTCAAGATAAAAATAAAACTATTCAAATTTATAAATACTTGTACGTTATGCATAATCTTAGAATACATAAATGATGTGATATATAAAGACTTTGTTAAACGATAATCGGCGGGATTGCTTATAAAATACTATCTTTCATCGTCCAAAAAAAAAAAAAACCAATCCTATACGTCGGACACAGAGTTTCAAAAAAAAAACCCAACTTATAGGCGAGTATATACGGTACTTTTAAAGTTCTGTATCTTAATGTATGGAACATCGTAGCTGCCTTTATCTTTTAATTATCTGATGTGGTTACTCAGTAATCATTGTATATTACATTAATAGACTACAATCACTTTATACATGTGTAGTGATATATTAGTTACCAGATTTTACACTGATTAATTTCATTTTATCCTTGCAAATAAGGTTTAACCACACTGTATGATTAAAGATTGACCTAAGGCAGCTATGGCTTTTCAAATCCATGAAATATGGAGATAACAAATAGGTATCAAGCTCAAAAGTCCACCGAAACAACACAAATCAGGAGCAGAGTAAACACAGACCTCTAAAAACATCAGAGGTGGAACCAGGTGCATGGAGGAGCAAGCATTCCCTGTCGAATGGTCACACCCGCCGTCTGCTCTTTGCCATGATTGGGAAAACGGAAAAATCCTTAGATAATTTAGTGTGTAGATCTAGATAATGGCCTAACAATTTGCATGAAAAATATCAGTCAGCATTTGATTCAATGATAGGTTGTATTTCCTGAAAAGGTCATTGGATCGATCATATAGGACTTGCGATATGATTATTCCAATCGAGACCGCTAATACTCTTGTTTCATCATCTTGGTTGTCAATAGTTTACCTCGTTTTAGAAGTTGTTCTTACGTAGAACATGCTATCGCGTTTTGAATCAACTGGGAGACATAAATTCCATATGCAGCTGATATGATGTATTGCTACATATATAAGGGAAATTGACGATAGGAAAGTTTAAGTTATCACGTTTATCCTAAAGTTTTGTTGTTACCATTAACTTCTGGTAAAACATCCAAATATGAAACGGATGTATCAGGCCCTTTGCTATCTTTTATTTCATGTTCACTGGGATATATTGTGTCGACATATGAAGGGAAGTAACTATGATAATTGATAATATGTAATTGATATATCTAAAAGTCGAGTTGAAAGCCACAGCAAATATTTTCTTCTTCTCAAGTTTACGTTTTTGAAAAAATCCAGCTTCATATGATTACAAAAATAGGTCTACTAATAACGGGGCGTATGTTTTAATACTTTATAGATTGTTGTTCATCCAGTTAATGTTTATATTGAAAGAGACAAAACTTGCAGCAATGTTTTATCAATCAATCATCATTTTTATCGTTCACATTCAGTGAAAATATGTACATTTGAAAAACAACCCTCAGGCTAATTAGCAAATCCATCAGTAAACATCAGAAAAGCTGGAGTTGTTGAATGTTTAAAGCAAAGAGTTGATTTAAAGTGCATGGTAGAGATCTAGAAAGGGTCTGATCATCCATCTGTTGATTAAAGACATGGAGGGAAATTAAGTCAAATATAATAAAATAAATAAATGGCATCTAATGAATGTTTTGAAATGTAAAAGGTGAAGTTAACGAACAGTGGTCGGTCTCATGATGTTAATTGTCATCTGATAGTGAATTCCCTGCCCTGTGCATCAGGCTTGCAACGATTAGTTTTTCAGCTTTTGGGTGGTATAACATAAGTGCAAAATCATACATCACCCCCAAAAAATCGTTCTATTTTGAACTTCAAAGATTTTAAAGCTACAGTGATACTGACCATATATGACGTGTCATTACACAGTCTTGGCCAAAATACATTGTAAAGTAATGCATTACATGACCATTAGTTCCAGAATTTTTGAGAATTAAATTACCATTACCATTATTTTATTTTTGAAAGTATTTTTTTAATTTATGTTTTTCTCGTAATAAACAAAGAAGTTGTAAATATAAAGTGATTATCAGGCACGATCACAATGACACGACGGTGCGATAGTGCGATGACGATGTGCAAAAGTGATAACTCTGTATAGAGTGCGATGGCATGGAAACATCGCGCCATCATTATCGCACCATCGTGTTATCGCTATTGCACCACTGCGTCATCACACTATCGCTTCATACTCATCGCATTAATTGTCGCATCACTGCATCATTGCTTTATCGTCTCGATGGTGCTTTGATGCGATGGTGAACTATATATAGCCCCACCCAGATCCCATAATGGAAATAACTTAAGTATCTTTTGATTATTCCTTAAAAGTTCAAACTTTTCAACTGTGAATAAGATAAACACATGTACATGTACAATTTTTATAAAACAAGTGTAAATATAAACTGAATCTTAACCCTCTCTCAGCTCTGAATTTCATGAATGTTAACAAACAGTTCAAAACAATTAGACCGTACATGATAATTTTAAGCAGTACACAATAAATTAGACAGTAATGTCGTTTGTGTTCTCGGTAGATGAAGCCTTCATTAGGTCTTTGTTTCATGATAATTAATCAAAAAGACCAAATTTATACAGAAGATTGTATTAATCATATTATACAGACTCTTTAGGAAGTCGTCTTTATTCGAATACAGTCTACAGTATTTAGCTAAAGAGCTCACTTATCACAAAAACTCTGTTGAATTTAAATTCCGCCATTGTGGTTAGGAAGGCAGATAATTAGTTTCGTTGAATGATCATATTTCTTTTATTATGAAATGACATCTTTCTTTTGTGAGGAAGTCCGAGTTGCAAGTATTTTGTAACAATGTAAAATATGGAATGGATTAACGAAAATCACCACCTGAAAAATCTTCATTGATACAGTTTAATGTTGTTTAAATGGTTTTGGACAAATGTGTATATACATGAATAAAAATCAGCCTTATTTTCGTACAATCATATCATCCTTGGTGAAGATACAGAAAACTGTTTCAGTCTCTTAATTTATTTCTGTTATATCCTGACTCTAATTATTTTATTATATGCTTTAAATTACTGTTATTAAGTGATTATAGTATATTTGTCAGGAGGAAACTTCATCTGTACACATATGTAACAAATTGTATCTACTAGTATGCTAAATTATGTCTATCTCTAAGCTTTAGAATTTAGACATTTATTTACTCAACACCGCAGAAGATGAAGAAAGTGCTTATATAGATCTATTTCATTAATTAATGAAATAAAAATATATTTTGTACAAACTTGATTGTATTGCACTATTTTAGCAAATTAATATTACGCAGATATGGTTGTGTAAATGCAATTTTCTATGTCTTGTTGTTTTTGTCATTTTTAACTCAAAGAAGGTTTTTCTATCCCCTATGAAAAACACACAACTCTGTCCGTAATATTCATTAAAAAAAATAAATTATAAAGATTCTTTTAGTAATAATGTGTTTGTGGTACTGATGATCATAATTTATATATATTTAAAACCCCACTGCAGGCCCACAGTAATCGGGGGGGGGGGGGGTAATTTTATCAATATATACTACACGATAGAAAAAACCTATTCTAATTTAAAGCAGTGCCCCTCTCAATCTCAACGCTTCATGATCTTTTCCCCAGTTGTTAAGGAGTTTCTGTTCGGTCCCACCCAACACCCCTACCCCACACCCCACTATAATTGCTTCCTTTGCTACTGCAGTGCATGAGAAGAGAATAGCAGTGAACATGAAAGATCGAATCATCGCTTAAAATTAACCTGGTTATAGTGAACTCCCACTTAATCATAAAAGGAATTAGATGACGAATGGACCTATACATTACTTAACAGGGATATAATGGGTTTGAAATCTATATCCTGAATGACCGCCACTGATGGTCAGCATATCGTACATGTACCACCTTATATAAATAATTATAAATTATCAATAGTTAAATAGCTCACTGGATTTAATGAATGAAGAAATAAGATGAGTGCCTGGAAAATTATCTGCCTAAGTAAGATTACTACTGCTAATACAATATTAGACGAGTTTCCTTGTAAAGCCGTGCAAATCTTTCAAGCTAAGTGCTAGGTACAGAATATTTTTTTTTCACTTTTTTGATTTTTACAGAAAATATATCTATAAATTATTAATTTTTTAAATTAAATTAACAGGTGTGTTGGCAATTTTCTGCCTAACTGAAGGCAACAGACACAAAAGAAGTGCTAACGTAAGTTTTCTGCAGTAAGAACAATATATATTAATTTTACATGTATGCAATAGTAGACTTAATTGATGGATATCGCAAGTCACATACAAAACAAGCTTCAGTTTAAAGAATGATGCCGTAACTGAGCATTCAAATACTCACACGATTTTTTTCTTTAATATATTGTCGGCATTGCTATAATTTTCTCTCCTTTTACTGGATGTAAATACAAAAATGTAGGTCCGGGATAAATCACCTATCCTGACATCATTATACATGTACTTGTTAACTTTAAGTACTGTGTTACAATTTTACGGTCCTGCTAAAAAAGATAAGAAAAATATTACATTACATGGACATTTATTATCAATAATTGGGCCTTACCAAATTTATTCTTTCGGATTCATTTGATATCTCTTTTGTGGTTCAATTTTTAAGGTCTGATGACAAGTGTCTCAATTATGTGTAATTTTCGTAAACGATTGAAAAATTGCTATACTTAAACAGGTTTCTTCGCAAATAAAACAAGGTAGATTTACAGGCATTACAAATAAAACAAGGTAGATTTACAGGCATTACAAATAAAACAAGGTAGATTCACAGGCATTACAAATAAAACAAGGTAGATTTACAGGCATTTCTGCAAGATTCCTGGAGATTGTTAGCTGCAATAATGTAGTCCTCTCTGATATTTTTAATCTTATGCCCCCCCCCCCCCCCCCATGAAGAGGGCTATATTATCACACGCTAGAGGATTGTATTTCCTATATATATGTAATCCTACTGGAAATCTCTATATAATTGCTGATATCTCAATCTTTGGAGACATTCTGAAAGATGTTTAGAAATTATAAGATATATATAGTAATTATAATAAATAGTTTTGGTATAGACACAATCTATTCAAAGTGGTATGATTCCTATCAAGACATAAATTAACATTATTTCAGGCTAACTGTGAGCCCAGATTTACAGTAATAGAAAATCACAGCGCATGCCTCAATAGATCAGACCAGGCTGGGGCCAGTGGTGAGTTTCCTTTAATATTGTCAGTAAAAAGTTAAAAACCATATCTAAGCTTACATGCAACATATCTAAAAGTGCTTATGGTAGAAAGACCTTCGAAAAAAAAAAGAAAGAGAACACTCAAAAGTGATTCCTTCAACAATGATTTAATCTATATACCCACATGACCCATTTTGGTATTTTCTGTGTCTTAGGTTATACATGTAATTTTTATCAATGCACGAATATTTTCCTTAAACATTGTAAACTGCATGATATTTGAATGCTGAGATATGAATTTTAAAAATTAAAAGCATAAATTTAATGTTACTGGTGATATTAATTATACTTACTGTTGACAATTACACAGGTGTGTCGGAGGCGGAGAAAAAAGAAATCGTCGATGTACACAATTTACTAAGGTCCCAGGTCGATCCTCCTGCCAGAGATATGATGAAGATGGTAAAGATGCAGTCATAATCCAGTCAAATTCCTCTACCTCTCTTAATTCAAAATTAAAATATTTCCATTTTGGAAAATAGTGCACTGCATTCTTCGTATTTCTTTTAAGATGCTTTACTGGGTAAACTTGAATTAATCATGCGCAGTATGCAATATGGAATGCAATGTAGATAAAACTGTCTTAGCAAAAAAAAAAAAATGTATGTACTCTCTCTCTCTCTCTCTCTCTCATAAATTTAATAAATTTAATGTGGATTCATAATTTCTCACAAAAAAAATGATGTTAATTAAGAAGCTTCTCCCATTGGTAGAGCTGGGATGACGATGTCGCGTTAGTGGCACAAAAATGGGCAGAAAACTGCGTGCTTAATCATGACGGGAATTATCAAAGACGAATTCCAGGTACGTGGTAAAAGTCAAATTGAAAAAAGACACGGTTTTATTCATACTAAGTGCAGGGCTGAACAAGGGGGTATACCAGTATCTACAGAAAATTTTCTGCTAAAAAAAAGTTTCAATAAAACAATTCTCTTAAATTATAGATCTATACAAGTATAAAATATATCATTATTTGCCGTTCTACATTCAAACTTTGAGTTTTAGACTTACCAGCAGGGGACCGCCTTTCAAGGGGAAGGGGCGGAGGGAGGATTAAAATTAACTTTGATCTGCTACAATACTATGTATTTTTTATTTCAGTAAAAATTTTTAGAGGAGGGGTACTGAACACTGATCACACCTGTAGATCAATAATAAAGATGTATTTCAGGGCGATTTTCTTCTGGACAGAATTTGGCTTGGGGAGGAGGCAGAATGACTTGGAATACCACTGTCTACCTGTGGCACAGCGAGGTCTCTAAATTCACGTTTGGAGGACCTAATACGGCAGAAATTGGGCATTACACGCAGGTTAATATAACTATATATTGAACTATTACATCAAAGAAACCGTAAACATATGATTTTAATTATTGTGAAAAGAAAATAACCAATGACTTGAACATATCTACCAGGTTATGCATCCCTTTCCCACAATCTTTTTTCCAATAAATTAAAACAAAATTAATATTGTACAAAATCTTTTCCCAATCGAAAGATAAGTATTTAAAATGCATGCAGTGTCTGTCAAGTGTGTCAAATGCACTGATAACACACGATGTTCGTAACTGGAACAGTTGTTGAAGGTAAGCGCTACGGTCTACAGGCCTTGTGTTTATTTTATTAGCTATTTTAAAATAATTTATCTGTCCTGCAGGTCGTGTGGTCGTCTTCCATCAAAGTGGGATGTGGTTACGCCTACTGTCAGACAAATGCTGTACATTACTATGTGTGTAACTATTCCCCAGCGTAAGTATGGTATATAATATATATGTATGACGTTTATAAGTGGATTTACCTGTTTCTCTAGTCTACGTCTACTGCAGGCTCGTAGAACGCGGGGGGGGGGGGGGGGGGGGAGGGGGCAGGGGCAACTTCATGAGTCCTGGGGGCAACTTCATGGGTCCTGAGTCCTCTCTTGGACGAGACACCACACCCACGAGTGGACCCAGTGGATGAATGGACCCTTGACGTAGTGAGGATGCCTAGGGGGTAGCCCTGTTGCCTTTGAAACATCTTTGGGGCACACCGACTTTCTAATCATTTTGTTGTCTGCTTTGACCAGATATTTAGTACATTTGTTCCGATGAGTACAGCGCGGTACTAAATTTGATTGTGTTTTTATCAATGAATTTATTATTCATTGAAGGAACAATCTTCTCATTTTCTGAAGTTCGTTTTTTTTTATTAAACATAAATAGATCACTGAAACTTGATCTTTTTAGTAGAACTGATTGGAGTACAAAAATAACAATTCTAACCTATACAGTACTGAAACTAAGTTTGATTTTTTTTAAACACATCTTCTGTAACGTGCATGATTTTCTTACCACAGAGGAAACAGCAATCGAGACCTTCCGTATAAAAATGGCACCAGCTGTGGTGACTGTCAGTCTCGATGTGAAAACAATCTTTGTGGTAAGTACATGTGTACTGAAAATTTTAATGATGCAGAAATCTGTGAACATGATAAGACCAGAAATAAGTCCTTTTATTATAATTATAACTTTAATTTTATGCACAAATATGATTTTTCGCCGTTTGTTCTCCAATTTTCTTAGCATGAGAAAGTTTTTATGGTAAAATTATAACTAACTGATCAGTAAAAATAATGTTTCAAATGTTTCATTCTCAGAAGATCTAAGTGTCGGTACCAATTTTGTCCAGAAATATTAATAAAGTATACATGTATTGAGATTCGTAGACAAAGATAATGATATCTAAGATTGTGATATTCAGAAGAAACAACTTTTTGCATGATTATCATTACATGAGAATTTAATAAACTACCCGTAAACATCATGTACGTCAGTTTAGCATAATGGTTGGCATCATATAAAAAAAAATGTCAATTGACTTTTATAAAAAAAAAAAAAATGTCAATTGACTTTTCAGTGTTATGATTGCTATAGACACAGGATGAACCTAAATTATTCATTCAACTGAATGGTCACTGAAAGTTTACTGAAATGTGACTGAATCATTCTTTCGCCTTTCAGTAGACTTTCAGCCTTCTTTGCAGTTAATTGAATGGTATAAGTGTGAGAGATGCTAGGTAAGACGCATAAACAAAAGGATCGAAATATAAAACGTCAAGGTCAAAGTTGGTGACAAGTAGTTATAATCTGGCACGCACAATTTGACTTTATGCAAATAATTATTTAAAATTTTATCAATAAAAAAAATACCCGTCGCAAAGAAGCTTAATTAATAACATTATGAAGAATTCTTTAGATTTTAGGAGTCAAAAGACTTAAAGAGTCACATACAATGATTAATGTGTGAACAATGACGTGGATACTATTTAAAAAGCAGGGTTGTAATTTTGATTTTTTATTTATTTTTTGTCTCATGCTATGCTTGATACATGTACGCAAAAAATGGATAGAGGAAGAAAGCTAATGTTTTTTAGGTTCAAATGATCAATAGTCAAGGTCAAAAAACCGAAATGGGTTTAAAAAATGTTTATGGCACATATTAAAATTATTGTAATTTTGAAGCCTCTTACAAAAGCAGAAAAAAACAACAACATTTTTTTAGTGTCAAAAGGTTGAAAATTAAATGCCAATGGCAGTAACATTATTGTCTATGGGTTGAAAAATTTTAAAGTCGCTCTGTGACCTATGAGTTCTTTATTCTCATACTTGACATAAATGGGTTGTGTTGGAAAGGCCAAAGATCAGGATCAAGTAGAGTAATGGACCTTGATAAACTTGTGAACATCATACTCCTCCAATATTTGAGGAACTATCATGCTACTTTGCCCTTGCTTGAATGAAATAATTTATTTCAGATTGTGGGGGCATTATTTGTGAAAATGATGGAGTTTTGGACCTTAACACATGCACCTGCCGGTGTTCCTTAAACAGGCCCTATTATGTTGGCAACAATTGTGCAAGTGAGTAGTTTATACTATGTATTATGAAGGGTTTCAGAAATGGATTGTACTTTGATGTATTATGTACATATAGCTCGTATCTTTTGTGAAAAAGCCTAGCTAATATTAAGGTGTTTTTTTTTACATGAGGCTGAAATGTTGACAAACTGTCATAAAATATCTCAGTTTCGGATCACTCATTTGCAGCAAATCGTAACCATTCTTATAAAACAGTTAATATGAACTATCGATATTTGAATGGGGTAGCTAAGCATTGTAAGTAAGCGATAAGATATATACAAACAACACTTTAAACCATTCATCACTCAGTGATTTTGACTTTTTAACAGTGAATTGCTCTCTCCTTATCCCGGACATCTCCTGGTGTACAGATTCACTCACCACCGCTTCATGTGCCCAATTTAGTAACGTACCGTATTATTGTCCAAATCTATGCAGCATCTGCAATTGTAAGTATTGGCTATTCCTCTCTGTAATAACTATTCAATTTTTTAAACTAATTTTAATCTATGATCGCTATTTAGATTTTTTTGGTTTTATATTCCAGATACTTTAAATTCTGTTGCTGAGATAACATCGAATTCCCCTTTGTCTTCCTCATCCACTTCCGCATCGGCTACCACTGGGTCTATGACGTCATCAAAGACTCCCATGATGACCACCACAGGGCTTCTGACGTCATCAAAGCCTTCAAGATCAAGTTCCGCCGCTGCCATGACTACCTCGGGCCAGATCAATTTAGTGCGGACAACAGAGGGCTCATGTAATTTTTTTTTTATTTTTTCAATTTTCGCTATTCTGATTTAAAAGATGCACAACCCCAGAGAGGGGGTGTATAAGGTGATTATCAGTTGGGTACATTTAGGTGATGGCGAGAAGAAATATACGTCATAGTCACAGGCACTTGTTTCGTATATGGGGTCACCCCCTTCTTTTTCTTTCCACAAGGTACCTAACTCAATTTCAGGCACCCCCGCTTCAAGCTCGTATTTTGTTAATATATCTATCATTTACTTACTTTAAAATGACATCGTTCGCTTCGAGAGACTTTTTTCTTGTCAAATAAATCGTTTCAGACATCTCTGGTCGTGCCTCTTAATTGTAAACCACTCATTTATTCCTCGAAAATTACCTCGATTAATTTTTAAGACTCTAGACGGGATACAAAACTTCCAGTTGGGGTTATAAATGTAGGATAAAACCAGAAACTTCCGAGTTTTCCATTCTGAGGTCTCTGGTTTTATCCTACATTTATACGGAACAAGTGCCTGTATTCATAGTATAACATGTATAAGGTATAATTACGTATGTCAACTTTTGAGAAAAACTTGGCCAGAACTTCTTATATCAAAATACACTCAAAAATTGATTTGAAACAAGATTTATATATTGAAGGACTATAGTTTTGTGATGCCCTTCACCTCACTCGGCACGCCTCGGCCGATTCGTACCTCATCTTGATGAAGGTGACGGAATCAGCCGAGGTTTGCCGAATGCCCTTCACCTGAACCTGCTAATATCATAGTCACCTCGTGTTTAATGTAAAAGAAGTAACAAAGCTTATATGTTTTGTTCTATAGTAAAATAGTCACAATATAAGAAAGTACTATTTCAGTTAAATTTGATTTTTTTAGTCTAATATACATTTTGCCTTTTTTGATGTTTAAATACAAAAATAAATCTGGAAGGAGTTTACTTATTTCCTTTACTTCTTTATCATTTTAGCCTCAACTAATAATGGAGCCAGGCAAATAAATCCATTCAGTATCTGTGGTAAGTCACATTAGAGAGATTGGTTACAAGTTACAAGAAATATTCATGATAATTAATACATTCGAACATTGTTGATATTATAATGCACATATATTTGTTGTGTAATATACTCCTTGGTTGAAAATAAATAATTTACAAGGAAAATAATGACTTATATTTTATTATTTTCAGGGATTTTTGGAGTTTTGCTACAATTCCTGGTTGTGATTTAAAGTAAAGGAATATTAAGCAAGCAGCTGTTTGACTAATCTTGACCAAATGAAAATTGCACTAAAAGTCTTGGCCATGAGCTAAATAAATATTGCCAACCAATTACAGATGTCAGGAAATGGAGGGACCAAACCTCACATTGACAAAAGAACTTGGAAAATATTACATTTTCAATTATAATTATACACCTTGTTTTCTATGTCTGTCATACTAACTATTTTGTAGTGTATGACACAATATAATACCATGGATGCCCAATCTTTTTGGTGCATATAATTGTCCATGGTTAAAATAGAAATGAAGGTGGCAACTTTTTATAGAACTAATTTGTGAGCATGGCTATAGTGTCTCTGGAAAACTTAATCTGCTAAGTAGGCCTACTTGGTCTGCTTATCCTAGTCGTGAGCCTTAAGGTTACAGGTCATATACATGTATTATGCAGTACCAGATTTAAGTGTAAAACTTATCATTACCATCATATCACTACCTAATCTATAGAAAAGTTTAAGTATTCTCATTACCTAATTAACAGAGAGGTTAAAGGATATATCATTTAAATTACCTAATAAGCCAGTGGCGGATTCAGGGGGGTTTGGGGGGGGGGGTTTCGGGAAAAAACCCCCGCCCAATCAAAAAAAAATTTTTTTACGTGTCATTTTAACAATATCTTTCATAAATGAGACTCTAACCAAGCCCATTGTTTTAAACAAAGAGGTGAAATATACAGCCCTTTCCGCTTGAGCGCACACAATACACAGGTAATCAACAGTACAGAGATTGTGATAGTCCGTGCAGTTGTGATGACACAGGGTCATACACTAACAACCAAAACTGCACATAGTTATTACGGTATTGTTTTGGCATTGCTGAAGTAATATTCTTTCAAGAATTTTCTTTCTTCGATAATTGAATGTAACTTTATTGAACTACGTGAATAAACTATGATTATTATCATTATTTACAAAAAAATTAATTAATACATTACATATAGTAATTAATACTATGGTATAAACGTCCCTGATACAATATTTTCATGACATAACTACTGGAAGAGTCAGTTGTTTACGTTGTGATCTGTACCAAAAAGCACATTGAAAGTGTTCCGTTGTAGATGGAAGTTACAATGCAATTTTTCAAAAAGCAAAAATGCAATTGTTTTTTAAAATTACAATTCAATGATGTTTGATAAAACCCAACTAATGGTTACAACTTCGTATAATGAATTTTGGTAAAACTGATATGTATAAAGTAGAGGTCCTGTGAGTAAAAAAATAGAATTAAAGAGTGCATTTCTAACATTATAATCCCCCCCCCCCCCCCAGAGCAATAAGCAATAATTCCAACATTTTCCCAAAATAATTTATATTTAGTCTTCAATATGAAATATCATGATTTGTTTATATTGCAAATTATATGAACAGTATAGTTAAGTAGTTGAAAAAAAGTAACTAGGGTTTCTACACAGAATCGAAATTGTTCTAAGTGTTGCATGGGAAACTGCACATCAGTTGTATTTTGGTAATCAGGGCTTCACATGCGACACATTAGACGTGCATTTTAAAATGAAGAATTGGATATTAAATATCAAATGGCAATATTTCTTATTTTATCAGATTTTACATTTTTTTTTTTTGGAAAAGTCTCATTTTTCATGTTTATATGGAAGTTAAAAATTAATCCCAAAATTTTCATTTTTTGTTAAAATTCCTGAAAATTTGGGTAGGTCGGTCTTGAAAAACTAGTGGCGAAAAACTAAGAAATTCAATCTAAAATGCTGGAAAATGCACCACTTGGAGCCATTTAAAAAAAAATTCTCGGGGACGCCCCCCAAACCCCCACCTATGGGAGGGGGACACCCCCTCCCATGCCCTCCCCCTTCGGCCCTACGGGCCTCAAACCCCCCCCCCCCCACATGAACTTCTGGATCCGCCACTGCAAGCAGAATAATTAAAGGATACATCACTACCTAATTAACAGAAATATTAAAGAACATATAACTACCTTATTTAACAGACAGTTTAAAAGACATATCACTATCTAATCAACTGAAAGTTAGAGGATACATTACTACATGTAACTTATCAACAGAAAGATTAAAGGATACATCACTACCTAATCAACGGAAACCAAGGTAAAAGGATACTGGTATATCACTACTCAGTGAACAGAAAGGTTGAAGGATATATCACTGCCTAATCACCAGAAAGGTTAAAGTTTATCTCATTACCTAATCGACAGAAAGGTTAAAACTACCTAATCAACCAAAAGGTTAAAGGATATACCACTGCCCAATCAACAGAAAAGTTTAAGAATTTTCCCCCATCCAAGAATGTTTCACAAAGATTGAATATCAATCAAATAAACAACATTTATTGAATAGTGATATTTTATTCTTAACATAAGAATTTAATCAACCATGAGTTTGATTAAAATTAGCATCTATTTCTGCTCTATATCAAAAAACTATTAAACGGAAACATGATTTCATTAAAACATTAATATTGCACATGTCTTACAAAGAAAGTATATAATATATATAAAAAATAATGAAATCTTAAAAAAAAACAGTAGCAACATGATTCTTGTATTGTCAACAACAAACCATCTTCTTTGGAGTGTAATCATGTGAAAACAGTCAAATTCAACATGGCAAAATTCTGACTATTTGTGATGGTTTAAATATGTGAAATGCAATATGATATAAAAATGCTAAGTATCTGATTTTTAAACTTCCACTGTTATCAGCAAAGATGTACTCATCATGCAAACTAAAAACATGATTCACAACAAACTCAGCCTGTGTATTAGTACTTAAGAATGAAGGGGGTTTAAACTCCCTTGTCAAACATTGTTTTTTTTAATATTAGGTCATTATTTATAGCACTTAGGGGCAAACACTAGCCAAGATTATTCATTTATCAAACAGTCAGTTTGCTAACCAAGCACAATGCATCAGTATGCACACTATATCAGAAGTGAAAGGCAATGTAAATATGGCTCCACACTTTCAGTTAAACTTCAATCTAATGTGTACAATGCTACATCTGTGAGAACATGATGTTCAAGCTGTTATATATACAAATGGATGGTGCTATAATTTTAAAGTGTTAGCTGGACAATTAAGTCCATTGCCACACTTCCCCAGTTTTGGCACGGAACAACTCTACTGTTCGTTGTTTCTACTCAAAGTTACATCTGTAGGCTCGGATGATATCTTTGATGGGAGCTCGGCACACAGGACATTTAGAGCCACGGGACATCAGCTGTCGCCCACAGCCGTAACAAACGCACATGTGACCACACTGGTAGAGAACCGAGTCCGAGAATTTGTCCAGACAGATGAGACAGTGCGAGTCGTTGACTGGACGAGACTGTCGGGAGGTTGCTGTCTCACGAGTTCCATCTACAAAATATTTGGTTAATTATTAATTAGAACAATTGATACTTCTTCGAATAGTACATGTAGTACCATAAGGTGCATAGTTGTATTTTTACATCATAAAAGGAAGTGAAAATAAATTCTTTTTAAAGCATCTCAGTCAGTTAAAAAAAAAAAAGACAGCATAATTGGTCATGAATAAAAATTAATATAAATGTACCTGTAAAAAAAAACTTTTTTTCACTTTTGATGGCCACAAATTGAACTTCCACATCCACCCCCCCCCCCCCCTTAATTTCTTTCCTTCTCTTGGATAGGTCAGACCAATCAACAAAGACTGTATATTTCTTCAAAAAATTTTAGCCTCCAGGGATTAAGAGGAGCAGTAATGAGCTTTATTAACTGACCTGACTTTTCAGACATGGCTGCGGCCACTTCCTGTCTAATGGCTCTCTGGATGTCCAATTGAAGGTCAAAGCTGACCTTAAGCATGTTCTTCATCTCCTCTACCTGGGCTTTGAGACTGGCCATTTCTCGGCTCAGGTACATGTTGGACTGATAAAATGAAACATTTGAAAATCAACACACAAATTGTCTTTTACATGGACAAATAAAAATGTTTTATTTATATAGTCTTTAAAACAGTAACAACAATGACTTGGTTTTCTTTATTTCCAGTGCCAGTTTTAAAGAAAAAGGTGCACATTCAGTTACTTCATAAACTTATGCTTCTTATCACACGGGTCAATAAATGAAGATTTTTAAATGTTTGTATCTGTTTTTCAAAGTAATATTTGATACTGTCAGATTGACTTCATGTTTAATATTAGCAACTTAATGATTTTAATTAATTAAATAGAGCACTAAACCTCAACCATTGCCCAAGTTTTCAAACTTCAATAACAGATCATTACATGGATCCTTATAAGTGTTACCTGTGTGTAAGGCACAGCCTGAGCACTGACGCTGGTCACCGAGATATTGTCCAGATTATCCTGGTTATTAAGGGGAATTCCCAGGTGAGAGAAGTCGTTGCGTATGATTGGCTGTGTAGGTTGGAGGGATTGTATAAACTCCTGTACCCTCTGGCCATCAGAGTCTGTGCTTCTCATATGATCCTAAAAAAAGCAACTATGTAAATTAATATATGTCATAAAAACTTCCTGCAGCATAATTCTATTCATCCGAGAGATCACCCTACTGATAAAATTAATTTTAAAGGATACTAGTATATTTTTATGTCTACTTTACTTTAATAGTCTGATGTATTCTTTTTAAAAATATTTTTATACTAATTGTTGTCTGTTGAACATTCATATTTTATGGTTAAATCACATTAGAAGTGGTTTTAGCAAAGCAAGATCTACTTGATGGCACAAAAAGAAAGACAAGTCTTTCAATGTGACAAGTTTCATACAGATAGGAATTTTATGAGGCATGAATTACGTACCCTCATGGTGAGTTCTAGAGTGGTTCGGAAGTTTCCTTGTAGCGTGGAGGTAACCAGTTGACGGTGAACCAGCTCACTGATCTCCTGGATGAACTCCTCTTGTTGCATTTCCTCCATCACATGCTCTGGGATGTTACCTAGATTAACGCTTCAAAGGGGCAAAAAAAAAAAAAAAGTTTAATACATTTCACATTAGTACACGTTTCAAATTGAATAAGAATATAAAATATTGTTTATAATTAAGAAAAAAATTCTTTAAAATACAATTTCCTTAATTTTAGTGTTTAATTGCAACCTTAATTCATCTGAGGAAAATATTTTTTCATTATATATCCATACTGAAAAATAGCTGCACTAATATTCCATGAAGTATTTATATGTAATGTAGTTTCAAGGTGACTGATGTATAATGAAATTCAGAATATGCAGATTAATTATCTTGTACTCTAGTACTCACTGATTCTCCTGTGAGTTATTGACAGAAGGCTGTGGAAGACTTTCATTCTCATTAGCTGAAAGTAAATAAAATCAAATCAGATTTATTGTATAATTCTTGAACTAAAAGTAAATGTAAATACGAGTAGATAAAAAATTTAATACATTCAATTCCTTAAAATTGACACTGCTATATAAAATTTTCTATAAATCTTACTGCGAGTGGATGATCCACTTGAGTTTGTTGTGCTGTGTGTGGAGAATCCACTTCTTGCACTTGTGATGCTGTTGCTTCTACTGCGTTCTTCATGTTGAAGTTGTTCCACAGGCCTTGGTATATTTTGTATCTCTGCTTCCATCGGCGTACTCTCTCTTGAAAGACTGTTTGGGGTCGCAACAACAGATGGTGTTCCATCTCGAGACAAACTGTGGGGTGTTGTGTTATTTGTACTGTTGGGGGATGGTTGTGGAGTGCTGCTGTGAGATGTAGTGGGTTGAGGGGAAGCCCTGGGGCCCCGAGAAACATTTGAGATTGTACCACGGATGATGTTTTCGAGCCGCCTTCTGAATGCAGTGCCCAGCACATTAGAGACCCTCTGCTGCTCTACCAAGCCCTGAATTTCTACTACCACTGTCTCTGGGCGGATTTCATCAACATTTTCCACATTAACGGGAACATTTTCTTTTCCAGACTCTAGCTTAGCTTCCTGAGCTTGCATGTGCTTGGCGAAGAAGCTGTCAATGACATTCTTTCTACCGGTACTGGTAACAGGCCTTTCTCCATACTGAATCTGACGAAGCTCATACATTCGATCGCTGCAAAGCATACAAATTTAATAAATTACTGAAAACAAATGCATATCATATTAAAGTCTTAATTCTGGCTGTTAAGTAATTATCATCACTATAGCTGCAAATAAAGGTTAAAATTTTGAATATTGCATATTCAATGAATGGATCAGTATTTCAATAGCCTATCCATCAGTATGACACTGTATTTGTTATACAGCTGGTTTGAAAAAGCCATTGACACTTGCCGCTGTGGGTTGTTTTTACATATTTATGGCTTTAATTAAAGAACATTATTCTAATCTTTACAATTTAAAAAAAACATTTGATTTTAAAATCTAGCAGTATATTGCAGACTGTTCGAATAAAATAAAATAGACCTTTCAAAATTAGATTTATGTTTCTGAAGATAAAATACCATTTTGTCCTCTCCAAGAACTCTGACAAGCCTTCGTCTTGACCTTCGGCCTTTCCTGCAGATTCCTCTGGAATTTTCTCCTGTTTCACCTCTGTCTCCATGTTAGAAAACTTCTGTTGCTGATCTTGTTCGCTGAAATCTGTCACACCTCCTTCTGCCATCCTAAATACTTCCCCAAAAGTTTTATACCAGGTAGGCGGTAGTGGTCAAGAGTAATGTTCTATTCTTAGGAATTACCTGTCCATGAGTCAGTGTGTTTTGACAACAATCTCCCGGACTATTTCGGGTTTATCGTGATTTTATCCTCTGCTTATGAAAACTCTAGAGGACTTTTGACGTCAAACAAAAGCACGCAGACGCGCGAAGTACAAAGAGATCAGACACATTGAAAAAATGACGACAAGTTTAGACGATCTTTTTAATCAGATCATTCATTCAGAGCTTCATGCACAACAAAAGAAGAAGTACCATCATGACTGTAAGACTTTTTACTCTTTTAAATGGGTTTTTTTTCATATGAAAAGAGGGCAGATGTTTACAAGTCATGCACGATTGTGAGACTGGACAAGGTAAAATGGATATGGGTTGAATGAGGTTGGAAAGAAGGAATGGATGTAGAAGAGGCCAGAGTGAGATCTGCACCACCACCCCCCCCCCCCCACTCGCCCAAACCCACCCAGTACCCCCACCCAAATCGCATCCTCATATGACTTGCTGCCAATCCTGATTTAATAGCAAATTATCATATTTAGCATTAGGGTAAACTGATCGCAAGTCGAACGCCTATCTATATTCACCGACAGCGTTGACAACAGGGTACATTATGCGTGTCATAAACCCAGAGATGTATCGAAATGTGTGCCTAAGGCGTCATTTTAGCGTGTTGTTTACTGTGGCAACTGAATGAAACAATTGTTATTAAAGGAAAAAGCCCGAGATACAAAATAGATCGTAAGTCGAACACATTCGACCATAAGTCGAACGGCTAGATATGAAGTCGAACGCCATTTATTCCGAGTCGCATGAATTACATAATTGTTAATAGGAACTGCTTTTCATGACATTAACATAATATATTATTATTTTTAAAAATAGACAAACTTCTGAAAAGATTTTGTTTGATCTCGTCTTTTTCTTTTATAGATAGATTTTGATTCATACCAAACATTTTGACATGATTTTCATTTAATTTATTTTAATATCAAGGAAGATTGTGAAACGTTGTTGGTAATACGGGAAATAATTTTAAATTAAAGGAGGAAAGTAATACATGTAATGTAGAATTCAGTCAACATTATCAATTTGCAAAATTTTTCATTGATCCTCCACCTTTTCTGTTGATTTTATCTTATTTCTCTCTGTATTCAGTTTTTTCCCCAGTTTTATGCTTTTTCTCTCTTTTTTTCATCCTCCGTTGAACATGTTTGAAGCCCAATTTGAAGTTATGGCAAAAGAGAAAAAAAAAGTTTTGCTTTTTTTTTTTTTGACATCGATCACTGTTTGTTATCTTCATTTTTTGCACCTAGAAGTCTTTTCTAAGGTAGCATTTCGAATGCTCTAAGTATTCGTTTCAGGCGAATTTATGTGGTCAGGACTCAATTTATTGTTTGAAGTTTCACAACTTTCTATAATAGGACTAATTTTCTTAAAGTTCGATTACTTTATTCAACGCAAAATAGTTTCAATCTAAACAATCTTGCCATGAAACAAATTCAATTTGACATATTTTAAAATCAGAAGACATAAAACGATTTACAAAATTGCATAAAAATTTGATGTTGAATATTTATTTCTTCAGAAATTTTTAAATCTTTCATGCGGATTTTAAAACCATTCAAATTATCTCTATAAGCTTTCGTTTTTTTTTTCTTTAATCAAATGTTAATCCTCTGTTACGGCCCCTATTTTCCTGAAATCTCAACAAATCTTTTTTTTTCTGGAACTGGCGCAAACATACTTGCAGCATCGTTGTTTTTTTTTAAGGGGGGGGGGGCGAAAAAAGATTCAAGACAACGTACCTGAAAAAGATGAAGATAGGGAACGGAATCGATCTCAAGAAAATCTACAGACAATACAAATCTGTGAAAAGGATACAAAACACGAACCCCCGGAAATTCCAGAGGTGGGATCAGGTGCCTAGGAGAAGTAAGTTGACCAGTCACACCCGCCATCAGTCTTCGAAATAACCCGGGATCGAGTCCGATGCCCGGGACCTGGTAAAATTGCGGGCGGGCATGTAAAAAATGAAGATTCACATGTCCGCTGGGCATGTGTAATGTTTTCTCCATTATAGACTGACTTTTATGTAAAAATATTTTACACAGTGGATTGCAATCTATACTTTCGTTTCTGATATCAAAGTATGTACGGTATTTTATTCCATGACAACTCCTTTTCCCTTTTTGTTTCTAATTGGCATTTCTTGATTTTTTGTGTGTGAAAATTTGAATATTAGTTTAGTAAAATACCCGGTAAATAAAATCAAAAGAAATTACATTTACGTCAGAAGTTATCGTTACCCCCCCCCCCCTCTTTTTCAATGTTCAATTGTTCAATACTCGTTTATTAAATTCAGATTTCTTCAAAAATAGCAATGATTACCACATTTTGGTAGATTTATTATTCATTGTAGATTCACTGACCTTTTTTAACAGCCCTGTTTATACATGTATTTAATGTACCAAATAAATATGCCGTCAGTAGTCAAGTAAATAGGTGAAATTTATTTTTTATTACCTAATGTAACAATATCATTAAAACACACAAGTATATATACTAAATAAGTTGACCAAAGAAGTGCATACACATTTTGAAATCAATTTCACAAGTGTCATATGCAAAGAAGCGTAACTAACTAATCCCTGTCGTCTTTCTACTGTTGTTGAAATGCACGAGATAATCATGCCACATTGTGTACACACTGTGTACACAAACTGTAATTACACTGTAGGATTTTCACATGGAATCCAAATTCAGTATGTTAAAAACTGCATGCAGGTTTTTCCTTAATTATAAACTACTACATTTCAAAATTTTCGGTAATGCATTACAGCAATAAAAAGTATATGTTCTTGACCACCCGAAAGAATATTTTTCACTCTTGGAAATTTTTGGTTGTTGGTCCATTCTTGTATAAACAATGGTTCATACACTGTAAAGACAGCATTTTTTTTTTTAATTTCATGAAGTTAAATTTTGAGTAAGGCATGTAAACTTGGTAAAAGTAGTAGATGAGATGCCCGACGGGCATGCGTTGAAAAAAAAAATTGTTGTGAAGACTGCGCCATGAGCCAGCAAAAACCAAAAGTAATTATCCAATCTCGAAAATTTTATGCGGTTGGGGGGGGGGGGGGTGGGTTCCAACTGTTTCAACAATAAGTTTTTTGGCTACATAAAACGGGGCGATTTTACCGTGCTGCAAAAAATTAGGAGAGGGGTTGCAGCTAGACTTTCCAATGAACATTTTCAAACTAAATTGACAGTAAAATATTATGTTCGAAAATATACTTCGTGCTTGCGGAGCGTCAGATCTTCTTAATTAAATATTCATCTTTGTCTTTTCACAGTCTTGGTAAATGGATAAAGCATTAAGAACCCACCAGTAACATGTATTGGGCTCTGGAGAGCACTGAAAACATAGGCAGGTGCAGACCCAGTTTTTTTTTTTTTTTTCCAGAGAGAGGGGAGGGGGGACTACATTAAAAAAAAAATCCAACTCACAAATTTGTTGATAAAAAGAAAAGAAAACTCCTTTCCCCAGCATGAGGATTTTTGCACAAAGTTTAAAACTTGATTTTAGACGTAATTGCCAAAATAGATAGCCTACATCTAAATTTGCTATATTACGACTAGATGTTTACAGTTAAAATGATCAAGTAAATTGTGGTCTGAATCATGGAATAATTAAAGTACTGGTGGCACAGGTTTGTTTGTTTGTTCGTTTGTTTGTTTGTTTGTGTTTTTTTTTTTTTTTTTTTTTGTTTGTTTGTTTTTGTTTTGTTTTTTTTAATGGAAAGAGTTGATTCATTTTCTTCTATAATAATGTAATTTTTATAAATCTTATAAAGCTTTTATTCTCTCTTGTGTAAATTGCGGTATTTTATCGTTGTTTCTAGTGTCGAACACTGATCGACTTGCGATCTTTTTCGGTGTTCGACTCCATATCTTTTTTCGATATTAATTCAATGAGCTTTGGTTAATTATTTTGCGAATTATGTATCCAAAACCATATAAAAACAGCTTTTAAAAATATTGATTGGTATAAATCTGTCTTTTAAAGTATTGATTAGCTTATTTGGTAAATGTTTGGAGCTTTGAAACAACATGGATAATTCATTTACGACAGAAAATTTGGAGAAATCACCTTCAAATTTCCCGGCACCTAGAACTACTGACAGAAGAGTTCGACTTAGAAAAGATAACTCTAATTAATTAAATGGATAAAAAAGAAGAGTTGCCTACCATTTATTGTTTATCAAAAGGTGTAGGTGAGGTTTAAAATGCGTTCGACTCGCGGTCATGTTCGACTTTCGATCAGTTGTGTGTCAATCAATCTAATTAAAATTATCCAGACCTTTCATCTCGCTCTTCGTTTATCTACTTGTTTTGTTCAGGAGCGACAGATAGATAAACGAAGAGCTAGATGAAAGGTCTAATTTTAATTCTAAGACTGTGTGTCAACACACGGTCAATATGCTTTATAGCTGAGTTTTATGACCAAACATGATCGATGTGATGAATGGCCTGAACATTCTGCTGAAATGGCGATCTCGGCTGTGTTTGAATGATATAGATCTAAGTATGAACATTAAAAAAGTTTATACACAGAAAACGATACATTGAAAAAATGACGACAAGTTTAGACGATCTTTTTAATCAGATCACAGGCCCGTAGGAAGCAATTTCAGTTTGGGGGGGGGGGGGGCACAGCCAAACATTTTCAGTTGAGGGGGTACTAGTTATCAACTACCAAAATTCCTTGATAAGCAAAAAAAAAAGGTCATCAGCCGTTTTTATTGAGGGGGCACAAGCATATAGTGGCTAAGTTTTCTATAGTATTCTATACATTGGCAAAATTATTGGGGGGGGGCACGCCCCCCCCCCCCGTTCCTACGGCCATGATATTCATTCAGAGCTTCATGCACAACAAAAGAAACATTTTAAAAACTAATATCAGAAGTTTTCGGTTTTAACTTTATGCTTTAAATTTATAATCTTTGTATTCAGACAGAAAGGCAATTACACAAAATACACCATCCTGGATCTGAGCCCCGCTAGGCCCCTTACTACTCCCTATGTCAGTTTATAAATCTGCCACTATTGATTTTTTTTCACATAGAGTCTTTCCACTTGTTAAAATTTTCAATAAACTGATAAAATGGACAACAAATTCTAGAGAAATTTTGATTTTTTTTCCTTTGTGTGTGTGTGCGTTTATTTATTTTATTTTATTTTATTTATTTATTTATTTATTTATTTATTTATTTATTTATTTTTTTTTTTGGGGGGGGGGGGTCTTTTAAAACTATCTAACATGCATATTATAAACGTAACTCCAGGGGGCCCCTTGGATCCACCCTCATATTGGCTCGTAATCTAAATCTTCTCTTCAACAGAACTAAAACTTACCAAGATTGAATCATTAGATTACTTATTAAAGTCTATTAGTTTATTCAAATGGATATATTTTTGTTTTGTAGTGAAATGCAGGATTCAGTCGACATTAGCCAGAAAAGATGGATTACAGAAAAAATACAAAGAGTTGCAAAGAGAATTGATATGTAAAGTAAGATTAACAGAATATTCAGTATGGGAGACAAGAAATTATTTGTTTGTTCCACTGTAATAGATAGAAATAACGTTGAAGGAACCTACGACAGCCCCAATCTAATTAAAATTAGATCTTTGATCCGCTCCAACTAGATCGCTACTTTGTGTAGCGATCTAATTGGAGCGGATCAAAGATCCAATTTTAATTAGATTGCGACAGCCCCTGCTCTCCCATATATATTCGGACTTGTTGAACATTTTCCTCTCCAATTATATTTCTTAGACATATTTTTAAAAAGTAATTTTTGTACAAGCGCATGCAAGATGTCATTTTGACTTTTGTAAAAAGGTGAGTTGACTTCTTCATTAATTTGTTTGTTTGTTTGTTTGTTTCTTAACTTTAATCTTTAATATATTAAGCCATTTCTTCCTGTCTAGACAAATTTGTTAATTCAAGAGGAGGTGAATTTAAAGTGTTTAGACCACAGGGAAAACATTTTAAGAGACGAAAAGGCCTCTCTAGAGACGGAAAAAGAACGTATCCAAAAATGTCTGGTTTGTGCTTTATAAAATCTATACCAAACCTAGTTTTACAAGAAATACATTGTACAATTTGTTTTACAGAATAGTAGATTACAAAAAGAAAACCTCAAATTATATAACAAATTATAGAAAATGGATACCATGCTCTCAAAATAATAAGACAGGCAGATTTTTATTCTAATATTAATAAGTAATCGTATTCTAGACATCAAAGTTATTTATCTTTACAAGCTGATGATTCGCTGCCAATAAAAATTAGGCCATCAATAAAAAAACATGTTTCGTTTGATGTACACCGATCCACATTTTTCAAGATGGGTGGCTGGGTAGGTTTTTTTTTTCCAGTATCTAACAAATTGATTATATAATTACTAGTATTGTCTTAAAAACACAAACTTGGAAATTTATTGATGTTTCATTATACATGTTCAATGGACAGCTAAACAGATTTAATATTTATTGCTATAAATTCTTTCTATCAAAAAGGCGTCTTAGAGAAATTGTGAACCCCTTAAGATTCAAATAAAACAATCTCTATTTCCCTGGAACACCCACCCCTCTAAAAAAATGAAAAAAGAAAAGTTCTGAAAGTGATGAGGTAGGGGCAATTTTGATAAGTCGGTCGGAGTACATCAAACAATTCAGTTTTTCTTGTTGGCCTTCTACACAAAGTAGCAAGCCAATTTTATTTGTCAAGAATATACGCAGTCTTACGTACACACACACACATCATTCTAGATGTGTTCATTTATTTATTTATTTTTATTTTTTGGTGCAGACAGACATGCAGTTCAGAAAGACAGAGGCACTGGAAGGGTTTTGTCGTGGGGTGAGGGGCTTCATACAGGATTATGGGTTACAGAGTGGGGGTCATCAGCGGAGAAAAGAGGAACACAAGAAAGCATTGGAAGAGGCAAAACAGACGGAAATAAACCTAAGAGCAGGTACCCCCCTGCGTCCCTCCATCTCTCCTTCTCTCTCTCTCTCTCTGTTTTTATATTTCATGAACTAGTCAGAACACACACTCTTTTAACAAGAAATATAATCGGGATACTTTAATTGACAATTACATATGTTAATATTTAAAATAAAAATCCAATTTTACTACAATTATTGCAGGAAATGAATACACTAATGAAATTAATAGCTCCTTACAGAACTGTTCTGGCGAATTTTCGCTGAAGATTATCATGAGGTGCTGTAATATAAATTTCCAGGGAAACATTACCTAATTTTATTAATATTGAACATGAATCGATTGAATTAGAGACTTTGTTTTCTCACAGAGTTAGAAGTCATCGAAGAAAGACATAAAACTTTAGAGGGGATAGAAAAACAACTCAATAATGAACGGCAAAGTCATCAAAATCTTCAGAAAACGAAGGAAGGTAAGTAGCTGTTTAACTGCTGTAACTGATCGATATAGCCGGTGTGACTTTCATACCTGTATTATCCTCCTCATAAATACACTTTAATACATCTACCTAAAACCGACATGTTTTTTCGCATGATCTTGACGCCAAGTTGACAGTGAACTTAAGAAATTTTTATTCACTTGACTATCATTATATCGACCAGACTAAATTCGACTATTTCCTTTAGAGTTTGCCGGGGAATTTAAGAAATTTTAATGCACTTCATTTATTTACCAGACTAAATTCGACTCTTTTCTTCAGATCTGGACGATGAATTAAAGAAATTACACGAGCAGACAGACATTCTGACAGCCAAGAAAACAGAATTAAACATGGTTCCCCACACGGATCCAGAGTTTTTAAGGTAACCACTCGCAGGAACTTGAAAGTCAAACTGTTACAATACAGTGGAATCATTAGATTTCATGGTGGCCGGGCCGGTGTCGCATAATATTTGGTCCGCCTCGTTTAAAGGTCCGGGGGGACCTAATACGATAACATATAAGGTCCGCCTTTTATAAGAAAAGGTCCGGCCCGTATAAGAAAAAGTCCGCCTAAATTTAAAGGTCCGGGTGGTGCAAAATGTTTTAATCTTGACTTAAACACATAAAATTAAAGAGAGTTTGTTTACATCATATGAAGAAAGATTAAGGATTTGCCCTAGCTGTTGTGTTTATTTTTTTGTACAATATATCTCTTAGGGCAGGAATTGCTACTCCTTGTTTAGTGTGCTTTTAGCAATACCGTTTAGGGCAATGATTTAAAAAAAATGTCGCATTTATTGGGCTTGTGTTTGATTTTCCCCAGCATTTGCTTTGTGTAAATTAGGATGATTAAAGGTGTGAAATCTGCCGGTGTGTATAGGCAATAAAACAATGGGGGTGTGAAGTATTAGTATACCTGACAGGTACCTGCTGGTAGAGCCCGCGGCAGATAGCAATGACAATGTCATGGTCATGTGTTTGCTTTAAATCAATAGATATGAATTTTCTATTTTAATAAATTATGCTGAAGAAGAAATTATAATACTATTATGATATTCATGCGTACACATCAAAATTGTGATATAATTATATAATTATATATAGTCTATTTTTATTACAATATTTAAAGAAATTTCTTATTCCAAGTGCATGTAGAGTTTAATACTAAGACCGATAAAAAATAAAAATATGTATATGCTTCCCTTTAGTTTTAACAATTAACTTGTTTTCAGTTTATAATAATATTTTGCCCTTTATTTGTGGATAGGGTAATATATAGCCTAATGTTGTATTCGATCTGTATTTACTGCACAAACAAAATACATGTAATGTTAAAGCTTAAAACAGGTAATTCAATATTGAAAACATATACATCAGATTTAAAGTATAATCATGGTTTGGATTTAATTCTTTCTTACAAAAATATCACTCTTCCTCGTCATAATGAACTACATATGAAATAATATTTCATTTTTGTAATTTTTTTTTTTTTGCCAAAAGAAAAAGAAAGAAAAAGAAATTACACATTTTACTGTGACTATAATAGACAGACTGTGGGATAATCTAGCAGGCTGTATTGCATGACAGATTAAAATTTGAAATCATTATTGTAAAATATTTTCTTTTATTACCGACATGAAGCATTTTGGGCAAAGTTGAATGTCCAGTTCTACATGTATATACAAGTCATTTATGTATCTCACGTCTGTATGAACGGGGGAAGGGGGAGGGAACATCAGTTGATCCTCTTCCTTTTTTTTGCGTATCAAGGAATTTCTATTTTCTACATTAATTTGTGCTATAACCCCCCCCCCCCCCCACACACACACACACACAAATGCACCCAGAAATATACTGACTGATTGTTTCTGGGGACGTTGTCAAGCGTGCGTCATATTTCCCATTTCAAGCTACATGATATGTACATTTTCGTGATGTCGACTAGAAGCGTTTCAGTCTAATTTTAAATCAAAAATATATTTCTTTTATAAAACGCTGATTATTTATGATTATTTATTTTATTCATTTATGGAAAGTGGCAACTCACGGTTATCCGGAGAAAAAAGGTAATTCATGGGGTTTTCCATCATGAGAGTCCAAGCTGCAGACAGCTCAGTATTACGTTACGCTACAACTCCATACCAAGTAGTCCCGGAGAATTGACACTGTATGGAGTATGACTGAGGGACTTCTTTCCCTACGAATAATGATATGGAGTAATACTGAGCTGTCTGGAGCTTGATTGAGAGTGATCTCCCGTGTAGAATTTTCTACGCGGTGAAAACCAATAAAGTGTATTGTTTAGTACCACTACACCTGCTCAAGAGTTTTTGAAAAATTCTTTACGAAAGCTAGGAACTTTGCCAATCTCCTTAAATTATCCTTTTCGAAGTCCTCAGTCGTTCTCCGTGGTAACCATGGAGGAAATAATACAATCGGTCTCATGTAGTCATGACAGAATTTTTGAAGTTCGATTTTCATAAATGCTATACATTGCACATATGTTGTTTCGGATATTACCTAACAATTTTGAATAATGATTATACAGGCGCGGATCAAGAATTTTTCCGGGGGGGGGGGGGGGGCATCCCAGTCAAAAAAATGTCTAACCCAAAAATTTCTTGACAAGGAAGAAAAAAAAACGTAAAATCCAATTCCATTTCCAAAACGTGAAAAACACCTATTTCGTGGTGGTGATGGTAGGGTCCACGTTTTCTAAGGGGGCCCAAAGTCATTTTTTATTTACTTCAGTATATACTTTTAATAACTCTGCAAATTACAGGGGGGGGGGGGGGTCCCCCGACTCCCCCCCCCCCCCCCCCCGATCTGCGCATGTTATATGAATAATTTCGGTAGTGGCTGGAGAAATTTCCGGTAATACATTGCATCTCAGGTGAGGAAGAGGAGGGGTGGCAAATTTATTCTAACATATCTTCCAATGTAAAACATCAATCACTATTGTGACCCCACCCTACCCCAGGTGTCATGATTTTTATAGATATAGCGCTAGCCCCACCCTACCCTCGGGGTCATGATTTAAACAAACTTGAATTTACACTACCTCAAGATACTTCTATATCAATGTGACTAAACATGGCTTTGTTGTTCCTAAAAAAAAAGTTTTAGAATTTTTTTCCTATACATTCACATGCTAAACCCTGATAGTGCATTGTGGCCCATCCTACCCCTAGGGGGTCATGGTTTGATTGATTGATTAGGGTTTAACGCCGAGTCGGCTATATTTCAGCCATATTCCGGCGGAAAATTAATTTTATATGACCTGTTATCATGGTTTAAACAAATTTGAATCTACAATAACTGAGGATGTTTCCATATCAATCTGACTAAAGATGGCTTTGCTGTTCTTGTGGAGAAGATTTTTCGATATATATATATATATATATATATATATATATATATATATATATATATATATATATATATATATATATATATATATATATATATATCCTATGTAAAACTTTGATCCCCCATTGTGACCCCACCCTACCCCGGGGGTCATGATTTGAACAAACGTACATCTACACTAACTGATGATGCTTCCATATTAATATGACTAATCATGACATTGTTGTTCTTAAGAAGAAGATTTTTGAAGACTTTTTCCTAGATATTCCTATGTAAAACCTTAATCCCCCGTTTTGATCTATTTATTACAAAGAGAAAATTATAGACAGGGTTTTTTTCTGTAGCATGAAAAATAGAGAAAGGGGCAGGGCGGACCTTAAAACGCAGTATAATAAAAGCTCCGCCTTCTGTATTTCAGATATTGTACTATTACAAGGCGAAAATTTTGAACAGGTTTATTTTCATAGCATAAAAACTAGAGAAAGAGGCAGGGCGGACCTTAAAACGCAGTATAATAAAAGGTCTGCCCTCTGTTTTTCAGATATTTTACCATTAGAAAGCAAACATTTTGGACAGGGTTTATTTCCGTAACATAAAAACTAGTCAAAATGACAGGGCGGACCTTAAAACGCAGTATAATAAAAGGTCCGCCCTCTATATTTCAGACATCTGACTATTACAAGGTGAAAATTTTGAACAGGGTTTATTTTCGTAGCATAAAAATTAGAGAAAGAGACAGGGCGGACCTTAAAACGCAATATAATAAAAGGTCCGCCCTCTATATTTCAGATATCTTACTATTACAAGGCGAAAATTTTGAATAGGGTTTATTTTCGTAGCATACAAACTAGAGAAAGAGACAGGGCGGACCTTAAAACGCAGTATATTTAAAGGTCCGCCATCTATGATTCAGACGTCTTACTGTTAGAAAGAAAACATTTTGGACAAGGTTTATTTCCGTAACATAAAAACTTGTCAAAATGGCAGGTCGGACCTTAAAACGCAGTACATGTATAATAAAAGGTCTGCCCTCTGTTTTTCAGATATCGTACTATTACAAGGCGAAAATTTTGAACAAGGTTTATTTTCGTAGCATACAAACTAGAGATAGGGCGGACCTTAAAACGCAGTATAATAAAAGGTCCGCCCTCTATATTTCAGTTATCTTACTATTACAAGGCGAAAATTTTGAACAGGGTTTATTTTCGTAGCATACAAACTAGAGAAAGAGACAGGGCGGACCTTAAAACGCAGTATAACAAAAGGTCCGCCCTCTATATTTCAGATATCTTACTATTACAAGGCGAATATTTTGAACAGAGTTTATTAAAAGTTATCGTAGCGTAAAAAAAAAAAACTCGTTAGAATGGCAGGGCGGACCTTAAAACGCAGTATAATAAAAGGTCCGCCCTCTGTTTTTCTTTTTTCCCACATACATGTATCTCACTTACAAAGCAAAAATTATGGAAATGCTGTAAGTTCCTATTGTTTTTTTTTCTTTGTTGGTTCGTGTGTTTTTCCAGGGTAAAAAGATCATTAGGTTTTTAATTTTAGGATGGACGCTAAATTAACTTAGAAAACTCTTGGAATGGCCTAATTGTGCATAAGAATTGCATATATACTACATGTAGTAGTGTACTTTTTTTCATTTAATATGCTGACAAAAAGACAAAACTTTAATGTCAATTAATTATCCACTCTATGTACGTTTGCAGGAGATGTGTCTACTGTATTGTATATCTATATGCAACCATAAACATCTGTCTGAAGGGACCAAGGATATATATTATTATTTAATTAGTAATGTTGATGAACTATAACCCCCCCCCCCCCCATCACACACACATAAATAAAAAAGAAATAGCCGCTTAAAGTCGTAGAAAATCTAATTTAAACCAAAATCAAAATAAATATAAAAAATAATAACAAAAGAACACGACTTGGTGGTGTTTTATGAATTTTTATATCAGTCACGATCTCAACAGACACTTTCCTTTTTATTTTAGGGGGAAATACATGTCAAGTTGCTCTGTAAAACTCCTCTGTAAATAGTATGGGTGGATAAGATTCTCCCTAGTAAGAAGGTGGAAAAGGAGAAAATTCTGTACTGAAGCGTACTGAGTATTTCCTATGGTGGATAATAAAGCCGGGGTTGTTTCTTCCAAGCTCGCTGCATGTCATTTCCGAAATTTTGCATTGCATTTCCGACATTTTTTGTTTTCATTTTACAATACAATCAACACTAAGTCTAGTAAAAATACAAAGTTTAGTAATAAAATGCAATAATTTCAATAATAAAACATGCAATTTTTTATCACCAAATTTTAATGCCCAATGAATTATATGTGTTTGAAAGCACCGAAAAACAGAATCTCCTCAACTTTGATTACTTTATTCCGTCAAACATAGTTTCTGTATGTCATAAATTCTACCTAAACCTTTCTGATCTCAAATTCAGTCTGATTATCTTGATTTGAAAAGATGAACAAAAATTCACAACTTACACTTACATGTGTCCGAGGATAAAATCGTCATAAGATTCTTTTAAATATAAGCAGAACTTATTATTTGGAAATCAATGAATTATTCTTGATTTATTCTTTAATTTTTTTATAAGGGAAATTTCAATTTTGTTTTCATTGCCGGAAAAGTACTTTATGATGATAAATGTCAGAGATGAAAATTTTAAAACGTCAGAGATGAAAACTACAAAATGTAGGGAATGAAATAAACAATATTTAAAAAAAAAATCCCGGAAATAAAATCCTATGCTAGGCTCATTTTCCAAAAGGGGAGGGGTCTTTAAACCCAAGCTCGTTTTCCCGGGAAAAAATATTAATGCGGGAGGAAAGTCTACAACATCAGTACTTTTTAAACTATTTGACATGTATCAGCATAATTTTGCTATACCCCACCCACCAAAAATACAACAAAACCATTTATAATCTTTTCCTTTTTTTGGGGAGGGGGTATTTTATTGCTTAAAATGTTCAACTCGATTGACTTTGGTTTGATTTTGCCAATTAATGCACATCTTCCTTAACCAGTGTTAACCCCGGGGTAATATCAAGTAGAATGAAATAATCGTTAGTCTTTAACTGGATAAGAAACGATGGTTATAAAAACACGGGGGATGTGCGACTTCAAGTTTCGTCAGGTGAGACAATAGGCCTACCCCCCCCCCCCCCCCCCCAAAGCACAGACATGTTGTTTTAACAACAACGGGATAGGCTAGTACACCGTAACACAAGTCCCTGTCAAAGTGACCCTCCAATTATTTTATAGTTAGGTACAATATGAATCGTAAGAATTATGCATAATTATTATTAATGATATAATGAAATATCTTTCGAAAGATATGAAAATTCTTTTTGGGAAGTGGAAGTCGAACGTTGTTAGGAAATAGACTGTAATGAAATGATCATTGTTGGACTTACGAACACCATATACTGAACAATGTGTCAGTGAAGGTATGCGTATTATATATATGTATTTTTTTTTTATTTTGCAATGATAATATTGATATCACTTAAACTATAAAAGACACATGTCGTACATGATTTTCCCATAAGGTAACTCGATAACAGATCTTTGCATCTTTATATTTTTTGTTTTGTGCACTATCTGGGAGGTATGTACTACGATAAGGAGCATACAGTTAATCAGTGCTAACATCAAATTTTGAATAATTTTTTGATAGATAATTTGAGGTTTTATACTGAAATATATCATAGTATTAGAAATATAATTAATTAAAATTGGCTAACGAAATCCAGCAACTAGCGAGATATCGCAAGACTTGATCCTTTTAGTATATATACAATGTACATACATGTAGGTCCCTGGAACTCCATTTTGCTGGGAGGGACACTTTTATAACAACTATACCTTAAATAATTTAAAAAGATTAATAAAGCAAATTAATTTCGAATCAATAAAGGAGAAAAATCTGCATATTAAACCGAAGGCGGACCTTTTATTATAGAGGCAGGCCGGACCTTATATGTTATCGTATTAGGTCCCCCCCGGACCTTTAAACGAGGCGGACCAAATATTATGCGACACCGGCCGGATCAATATTCTTGGAATTCGTGGGTACCTCTCATCCACGAATTAACATCCTCCAAGAATTAAGAATCTTTGTTTACAAAGTCATATTTCCTTTTGTAGGTTTATAAGAGAATACACGAACTTACGTCCCCACGAACCTGTAAAATTTATGCAATCCACGAAAATTTCCCCTTACAAATTTTAATGATTCCACAGTAACTGATTCTCAAAATGCATTTCAAATATCTCAAAGAAAGAACAAATATCTTAATACATATAACGACTTTCCAATAAAAACTGATGAAAATAATACAAAATTTGAATATCATAGTATTTCAAATTATTCAAGTTTGAGCAAGGACTTGGAAATTGCCAATGGAGAACGTTTAGAGGAAAAATGTATGGCTTTACAACAGGAACTTCAGCGACTACAACAGATTTTGTGGCAGAAGCAAGTCAGAGAGCGAAAACGATCGATCGGTGGCGCCATATCAACAACAACCGCCCAAAGAAAAGGTCAGTGTAACCCTAGCGTGGGCAGTCGACAGCAGCAAAGAATTACCAACATTGGTATACAGTTACTAGCTAAGCTGCTCTGTTGTTTTAACGTTTAAATAGCGATATGTTTTTATATTATTGTTTGATGAACACAAAAATTATATTCTTGTGAGAAAGGAGTGAGTTTGACCAAGAAATGGATTGGACCAGCTAGGGCAACGAGCTTATCTAGTTATTAGCTCTACTGGTCAGAGACCAGAAGAGCTTATGCGATAGTAAGGTGTCCGTCGTCCGTCCGTCTGTCTGTCTGTCTGTCTGTCTGTCCGTCTGTCTGTCCGTCTGTCTGTAAACAATTTTTCAAAACGCTACTCCTCCTACAGTTATGGTCCGATTTCAATATAACTTGGCACACAAGTAGACTACACTAAGATACATAATTTAGTGCATCGGTTTTTGATTTCGATGGACGGTGTTGCCATGGTTACTAAAAATAGAAATTTCTGTGAAATTTCTTTAAAACGCTACTCCTCCTACAGTTTTGGTCCGATTTCAATATAACTTGGCACACAAGTAGACTACACTAAGATACATAATTTAGTGCATCGGTTTTTGATTTCGATGAACGGTGTTGTCATGGTTACTAAAAATAGAAATTTCTGTGAAATTCCTTTAAAACGCTACTCCTCCTACAGATATGGTCCGATTTCAATATAACTTGGCACACAAGTAGACTACACTAAGATACATAATTTAGTGCATTGGTTTTTGATTTCGATGGACGGTGTTGTCATGGTTACTAAAAATAGAAATTTCTGTGAAATTCCTTTAAAACGCTACTCCTCCTACAGTTTTGGTCCGATTTCAATATAACTTGGCACACAAGTAGACTACACTAAGATACATAATTTAGTGCATCGGTTTTTGATTTCGATGGACGGTGTTGCCATGGTTACTAAAAATAGAAATTTCTGTGAAATTCCTTCAAAACGCTACTCCTCCTACAGTTTTGGTCCGATTTCAATATAACTTGGCACACAAGTAGACTACACTAAGATACATAATTTAGTGCATCGGTTTTTGATTTCGATGGACAGTGTTGCCATGGTTACTAAAAATAGAAATTTCTGTGAAATTCCTTTAAAACGCTACTCCTCTTACAGTTTTGGTCCGATTTCAATTTTACTTGGCACACAAGTAGACTACACTAAGATACATAATTTAGTGCATCAGTTTTTGATTTCGATGGATGGTGTTGCAATGGTTACTAAAAATAGAAATTTCTGTGAAATTTCTTTAAAACGCTACTCCTCCTACAGTTTTGGTCCGATTTCAATATAACTTGGCACACAAGTAGACTACACTAAGATACATAATTTAGTGCATCGGTTTTTGATTTTGATGGACGGTGTTGTCATGGTTACTAAAAATAGAAATTTCTGTGAAATTCCTTTAAAACGCTACTCCTCCTACAGTTTTGGTCCGATTTCAATATAACTTGGCACACAAGTAGACTACACTAAGATACATAATTTGGTGCATCGGTTTTTGATTTCGATGGATGGTGTTGCCATGGTTACTAAAAATAGAAATTTCTGTGAAATTCCTTTAAAACACTACTCCTGCTACAGTTTTAGTCTGCTTCTAATATAATTAGGCATACAAGAAGACTATACTAAGATACATAATTTATTGCATTGGTTTTTGAATTCGATGAACAGTGTTGCCATGGTTACTTAAAATAGAAATTTCTGTGAAATTCCTTTAAAACGTTACTCCTCCTACAATATTGGTCTGATTTCAATCTAATTTGGCACACAGTTAGAATACACTACGATACATAATATGTATTTCTGTTTTTTTTTTATTTGGGTGAGTGGTGTTGTCATGGTTACCGGTACTAAAAATAGAAATTTCCGTGAAATACTTTCAAAACGCTACTACTCCTAGTTTTCATTTGATTTCAATATAACTTGTCACAAAAGTAGACTACATTAAGATACATAATTCTATTTATTGTTGCATGTTGCAATGTTTCAAATCCAAGTGCTACTTTTCTTTTGTTATACAAACAGACCAGTAGAGCTACAGTCTCATCAGAGACTTCTGGTTTTTATGAATGTTTTGTATAAGATTAAACTTTTCGGATTTGTTTTCTTGTTCAGCTGATTAGAACAGAAGAAACAAGTACCAACAGAATTACAGTGTCTAACTTCAGCACAGAAGAGGATACCAAAAAATAGAATCAGCAGAAGAACCTATACTACCACAATGGAACCAGCATAGGAAAGTATTCCCTAAAATAGAACAAGTATTGGAGAGGATATCCCAAAAATACGTCCAGCATTGGAAAGCACACACACAAATAGAACCAGCATTGGAAAGCACACACAAAAATAGAACCCAGCTTCGGAAAGCACACACAAATAGAACCCAGCTTCGGAAAGCACACAAAAATAGAACTAGCATTGGAAAGCACATACAAAAAATAGAACCAGTATTGGAAAGCACACACAGAAATAGAACCAGCATTGGAAAGCATATACAAAAAATAGAACCAGTATTGGAAAGCACACACAGAAATAGAACCAGCATTGGAAAGCACAAGCAAATAAAACTAACTTGAGAAAGCATACACAAAAATAGAATTAGCATTGGAAAGCATGCACAAAAATAAAACCCATCATTTGGAAAACACACACAGAAATCGAACCAGCATTGGAAAGCAACCAGCATTAGAAAGCAGACAGAAATAGAACCAGCTTGAGAGAAGATACCCCAAATAGAGCCATAGGAAATTTTTTAAGCATGTTTGGCAGGATAACTTAGTCTCTGTGTAATAGAGCACTCTAATTGGACTGATATAAATATACGAATCCTTGTACAATTATCCAAATCCGATTGAATTTATATTGTACATAACATTTTTTTCTTTTTGTGCTACTTGATATACACCTTTGGAAATGATTAAATTTGCATAATTTAGTTCTTTTACAAATTATCCACAAATTATACTACATTAATAATATTCAAGTGTACAAAAATATTGATTATGAATGTAATCAATGAAGTTAGCGATACTATAAGTGTTTGTAAGATATGGATTTTTTAAAATGATTGAAACTATACATCAAATTTTCCCAAAATTTAATAAACTTCAGGAAGGATAGAAAAAAGTATTTAATCCTTGGAATATATATATATATATATATATATATATATATATATATATATATATATATATATATATATATATATATATATATATATATATATATATATATATATATATATAATACCTGATCATTGAGAGTGAAAAACGGGGTCAAACACCGCAGAAGACACTTCGATATACAATGCTGCATTTTCTTTTAAATTAACCCCAAGGAGCATGTGTGCAGGTAATTTCCTCCTATTCAAAATTATATATTAACTCTATTCAAGATATATATTAGGCATAATATATTATTCTTATTCCCTCGCACTACTATTTACTCGCCATTCCTGGACATACAGTCAGGAGACATGAGGTTCGTAGCAGCACTTGTTGTTCTGTGTGGATGGACGTACTCAGGTAAAGTAGTTAATTACTAGTAAAAATTGATAATTACACGTATCTCTAGAAAAGAACAAAAATCCGGTGGTCTTTAAATGTACATTTTATTCTGCTTTTGCAAGGAAGAAAACCTAATTTTTTCAAATTCAGTCCATTCAACTCTCGAAGCAGTTTTCCAACTATTTTTGAGAGCGAGGACACAAAATGTATTTTCAACTGTTAAACATTTTTTTAATACTTTTGACACACAATCACTTCTTCCGTTCATTAAACTAGAACCTATTTCTAAGACATATCTATCTATCTATCTATCTATATAGAGAGAGAGAGCATTCGGTTTCAATAAGTGCCGAACATCAGACAGAAGTTGTAAGGGTTGTTTGTTAAAAATGCATGTATTGTTTATATGAATAAGTTACGAGTATCTTTTAAATTTATAACAGACATTTAAAAAAAAAACATGAAAAAAGCTGAGTATTCAAAATTTCTCTTTAAAATTATGTATGCTTTTTTTTTAAGTCTCTCTCTCTCTCAATGTTTTGTCATTTTTTTTTACATAACGATCGTTTACAACAATATATGGTATCCAACAACTTCCAAACATTTCAATCATGTACTGTGCCCCTTTTGAAAGCTAACAACAATAAAACTAATGCCACTGTTGAATCATTTTTGAATTTCATACTAAAATTTTGAAACAATCAGGAGCATTTTTGTTTTAATCAAATTACACTTTTCACAGTATCGGCGGACGGGAAGTGTGGTCGTGGCTGGTTCCAGTATAAAGATTCCTGTTATTTCATCAGTGAACGTCAGAAGTTTACCTGGTTTGATGCTTGGGTTAGTGTATCCTACAGGTCGACGTAATATCTAATATTTCCATAATGTTTGCTAAATTCAATTCTTAAAAAAAAAAAGAGAACTATATATTATCTTCTTTTCTATAAGAATGCCTGCTTGATCCTGTACAGGGTTATCCTACTGGTCGACAATAATAACTAATATTTTCATAATGTTTGCTAAATTCAATTCTTTATTAGCTTTTTTGATGGAAACTATTACTCAGTACATTTTCATTTGAAAAAAAAAACAACTTTTTTATTATAAGAATGCGTGCTGGATCCTACAGGGTTATCCGGTGGAGATTTCATCAAGAAATGAGCAGAAGTTCCTTGGTGGGAAAATGGGCGACGGTAAACTGTATAGCTCTATGTTTTCTATTACCTTAAAATATATAGCTCCTTTAAGGTTCCCATACCTCTTTATGGTTCCTTATGGTTCCCTTTACCTCTTTGTGGATCCTTATCGTTCCCAGACCTATATATGGTTCCATATGGTTCTTATACCTCTTTATGGTTCCCATACCTCTTTATCGTTCCTTATGGTTCCCATACCTCTTTATGATTCACATACCTCTCTATGGTTCCTTATGGTTTCCATGCCTCTTTATGGTTGTTCCCATACCTCTTTATGGTTCCATATGGTTCCCATACCTCTTTATGGTTCCCATACCTCTTTATGGTTCCTTATGGTGCCCATACTTCTTTATGATGCCCATACTTCTTTATGGTGCCCATTCTTCTTTATGGTTCCCATACCTCTTTATGGTTCCTTATGGTGCCCATACTTCTTTATGGTGCCCATACTTCTTTATGGTGTCCATACCTCTTTATAGTTCCCATACCTCTTTATGGTTCCTATTGGTTCCCATACTTCTTCTCCTTTATGGGGCCTATAGCTCTTTGTTGTTCCAAAAGCTCTTTATGAGACCCAGAGCTCTCTATGGCTCCCAACCTTTTACGGTTATGGTTCCCTTACTTCTCTTTATCTCTGATAACTCCATTATGGCACCTTTACCTTCTCTATGGCCCCTATACCTCCTTAATGGTACCTTTACTTTTATGACTCCAATTGCTCCTTCATGGCTCCTAAAGTTCTTTTTTTTTGGTTTCCAAAGCTCATTATTTCTCCCTTAGCTTCTTTATGACTCATAGAAGCCATATGGGATTTGGTATCCCCATTTCTCCTTAGTAAGTTCGGAGGTGAATAAAGTTGAGATGGGAAATTGTATAAACAACTCTCAAGCCTTAACACCGTTCCTTTATGCCTCATTGCTCCATTATGGCTCCCAATACCCCTTTATGCCTCCCAAAGCTATTTAGAGCTCCCAAAGCTCTTCATGGCTTCTATAGCTACTTTATGGGCCCTAAAGCTCTTTATGCCTATAACTCATTTATGCCTCCCAAAGCTCTTTATGACTCCCAAAGTTAAGGTCTTTGTGACGCCAAAAGCTTTTATGGCTCCTATAATTCCTTAATCCAAAAGCTGTTAATGGCTCCCATAATCATTCATGGCTCCTGAAGCTCTTAATGGTTCCTAAAGCTGTTTATGGTTCATATAGTTCCTTGAATGCTCTCAAAGCTCTTTCTGGTGTTTAAAGCAGTTCAAGGTGTCCGAAGTTCTACAGGGATCTGAGATCGAGCTCTTTATGGCTCCTATAGCTCATTTATGCCATATAGCTTCTTTTTTCATAAGGTTCTGAAAGCTATTTATGGTCCCCGAAGCTCTTTATTCATTTCTTCGTAAGCTCTTTTTGTCTCTTAGAGCTACTGTATTTCTCCCTAAGCTCTTCATGACTCAAACGCTTTTTATGACTCCTATAGCTCTATAACTGCTTCTAAAAGTCTTGATGGCTCCACATGACTCTCAGATTTCTTTGTGGCTACCAAATCTCTTTTAGCTTCGAAAGCTCCATATGACTCCTTAAGCTCTATTTTTGCTTCTACGACTACTTAATGGTTCACATTCTTTATGGCCCCTTAATGCATCCAAAGACTTTTATAGCTGCCAAAACTCTTAATGACTTTCAAATCTCTTTAAGGCTTCCAAAACTTTTTATGTTGTCTACACAAACCTTTATAGCTTCCAAAGCTCTTTATGGCTCCCAAAGCTTTTATTGTTTCGAAAGCTCTTTATTGCACCAGTAGCTCCTTTATGGACACACACAGATTTCATACTACTCTGGAATCATTATTTAGAATTCGTGGGGGACAATTTTCGTAAATTTTCAAGTACAGGATTTCGTGTTTTCATTCATATTCTGATATTTACAAAAGAAAAGATGACTCTTTGAACCCCAGTTATTAATTCGTTGAGGATGTGAATTCATGGATGCCGGGTACCCACGAATTCCACGATTATTGAGCCACATGATTCCACAGTATAATAATAGCAGGAATTTCTAAATCAAGAAAACTAGGCACGATCTTTCATATCGTTTATTTTTTTTTATCTAGGGGCTTACCACACGGGAGGAAATGAGATACTTGGCAGACTTATATGGCACACAGGGTTACGTCGCTTTGGGTACAAGTCTCTCGACTGGAGAGGCAGAGATAAAAAGAAATTTCGTAACCGGAAGTGTGTTGCGGCCATGCGCATCGGCGGGAAAATGAGGCTTATCAAGAAAAGATGTCATTCTTTGGAGAAAATCATTTGTGAAAGGTATCTACAAAACACATACATGAAAATAATATTAATCATTAAGACATAACATGAATTTGTCATATTTTCATATCATGTTTTGGAAAAAAATATACCCGGTAAGCGCAAGACTTGCTTTTACTCGTAATTTACATCTTTGTAGGACATTCTTCACTCATAAGAAAGGGGTTCAGGTGTTTAATAAAATACGATTGATTTGAACATATTTTATGGTATAATACGATTGGATCTTGAATTTATATTTTTCTTTTAAAGATCTTACATTATTGTGATAAACAATGTCATTTTACAAATTAATTATACAACTTGCTCTTAATAATATAATGATTTATTTTCTCTTTCAGACCAGTTAATCTGTTTAAATGGTATTCCCCATGAAATCACACATCAAGTAAATAAAGATTTCAAACAACATTTTATTTTGGCGTGTGCATGATTGGGTATAATACTAAGCCTCTTATGAGGATTTCATTACCTACACATATGTCTAGATCTATATAATTGTATACATTTTTTCAAATTCATAGGTTAATGTTCAAAGAAAATAAATATACTGAGACGAAAAGATTTTCAACACTATCTTGAAAGATTTAGAGTTTCCTTGCTCTCTTGCCATCATTTACATGCTACATATGTAATTTAAATTTAAGGATAAATCATGATAGACAATTTAAAGAATATAATTTTTTCTTCTGCTGAATATGATTTCAAAACCCCCTGTTATATATACACATGCATGTATTGTATAGAGCTATAGTATACCTACATGTACCTTAAACTAAATCGTGCCGTTCAATCTGAAAATATATTAATATAATATGACCCTATGTGAGTATTTACAATGTACCATCTTTTTGTCCTTCGAGGGCCCTTTATTGTAAATAAAAGAACAAAATTGAATTACTGTGAATTTCTAATTTCAATAGGGGTTAATTTTCGTGGTGTGAAAAAAACCACGAATTCACGTCCCTCACGAAAAGTAAAATTTCAAATATTTGACAGCTAATCACTTCTTCAACCATGAAATTTAATCCCCAAAACCATTTATCTTTTGTCAAACCACGAACACTTCACCCCATGAAAATATGAGATTTCACAGTACATTCTTTTTTTACAGTGCTAAATTGAGATTTAAGGGTCTACACTTCGTGATATGAATATGAAAAATATTTTTAAAAAATTACTTCCGGATTTGTATAGTCCGTGTTCTAACGATTTGCCCAACACCGTATTTTTTTTTTTTAAATATTTATAAATTTTTAGGCAACTTGTCATTTATAAATCCTTTTCTTGAAATCTCTCAGTAAATCCACTAAGCATTGTTGGTTTGTATATCACTTATGAGGAGGAGGAGACAAACTGTCCTTATGACCAGATTCATTCAAACATATGCCCACGAGTCCAGGTTTCGTTTGGATATTTTAAACTAATATAATACTGTAGATCGCCAAATTTTCGCGACACCATATTTTCGCGAGAGAGAGTCAAATGATATTCATAAGCAATACTAAATTTTTACGGATTCTGGTTATCATTTTATATATCTTAAAAATGATAAAACATAAAATTTTCGCGGATGGTCTCACGTAATTAGCACACGAAAATAAAGTTCTCGCAAATAAGGTGAGTTACAGTAACTGAAATTATATTAAAAAAATGATAATGACACATTATTGGTTATATAATTTATTATAGCAAGATTTTGAAAAAGAAAAAAAAAATCTATTTTAAATGAGTTTTTTCAACAAATGAATATACAAAATTAATTGATTATCTTGGTTCATTAGCAATTTATCAATATTTATTGCCCCTTGTACCTTCTTCAATAGCAAAGGCAATGGTTATGACATCCAACAGTTAAAAAAATATATATAAAAAGAAAACAAACGTTCTCTACCTCATTACAATTATCACTATTATTATTTTTTTTCTTTTGGCCGACAGGCTTCATATATATACAATCAATCATGTTATGGCACAATATCTTTTAACAAATCGCCAATTAAATGCATATTGCCTAACTCAAATAACATTCAACTTAAAATGAAACAAATGTATTAATCTATGGAATAATTGGTGTGTAATTTAGATATCTAAAAAGTATGATGGTATTGAAGTCCATGGTATTTTACAAAACTGTACAGAAGTCATATACTGTATTTAGATTTTATTTTTACCAGTATAGGTTTTTTTGGTGGGTGTTTTTCAGTGTAATATTTGTTCTTTTTCAGCTGTTGTTATAAACTATAAACGTTAATAAGTTCATTAATTCTTTAACAATGCTGCCTGACTAATCTTGTCATGAAATTCATAGAAATCAAAACTACAAAAAATACGATCAACTTTTAAAACATCAAACTTCTATACCTGAATGGTATTTACAAATGTATGATCTTTTTGTTTTCAACTCTCTAGCTTTTCAATACAATATCCAATGTATACAAACAACTGAATTCAGAGCTTAATGAAAATACCCTCATATGTTCACCTGTTCAGAAGAGAAAAAAAAATGTTAAACTAAAAGTTAATTGAAGCGCAAGTTTTAAAAGCATTAAATAAAGCCTGAAATATGGCTGTATATTTATAATATATATGGACCATTAACGTAATGTACGTTTTAACATAAAATGACATCATTTTACAAATCTGACCAGCAGACATGAGATTAAAAAAAATTAAAAATAATTAAAACTCCCTTTAATTAAGTTTTCCCTTCATAATTATATCATTCTTAAGCACTATAAATATAAATAAACTTTTCATCAAAGAGAATTATCTATAACATAATATTTAAGGTGGGGCAGGGGATGGGGGTGTCATTTTGCAAGTATTTTATACTTTATCCAATGAAACTGCTGAAGACTCAATTCATTGTATTTAACTTAAGGTTTATACTTAGCAGTTAAATAACATCCTTAATTCTAACAATGTTTTATAAACATTGAATTTCTACACAACTTAATGCATCTAATATATTTAATATTATTTGTTATCAATATATTTTGGTTATCAAAAATTTGAATACAGTGAAACTTGTTTAATCCAGATGTTTCGTGTTCCAAAATCTTGCCTAATACAATGTTAACTTTAAGTAAATTAAATTATTTAGAATGTTGTCTAATCCTGCCAATTTCTATGGAACCTGAATGGTGTCCAGATTACACAAGTTTTACTGTAGTGTACAAGTGTCATAGAATTCTTGAAAATAAGGTGGTGGCATTATGAAAAGTGACACAGAAGTACCGTGTTGTGGCCTTGCTACAGAATACATCAGCAGACAATATAAGCAGTGACCAATACCGGTAAATAAAATACCAATACACTGTATACAATTTGTTAATCCAGACACTGCCTTGATCTGGATGATTTGAACACAAATGTCCAGATTAAGGAGATAACTGTTACAAACACTCTTTCTTTGCACTATTACATGTTGATAAAAAAAAACATCATGTATACCTATTCCTTAGTCATACAGTTATTCTCTGCAGTTCACTCATTAACAAATATAGTGTATAAATATCTTTCAAAGGTTTATAACAAGGCTGAAGATCATTCTAAAAATATACCCCTAGGAAGACCTGAAAGTACAGTCAACATTTGTACATGTATAAAAAATAGAACAATATAGAGTATGTACACATACAAGGTTCCATATTTTTAAAGCTTATCTTAGATTTTTTTAGCTGCTTAAAGAAGTGGAATGTTATGAAATCAGCAAAGATCAATGAATAACATCTAAATCCAAACAGAGAAGCAATCTTCTATTTTAGAAACAAAATTAGTCATATGCCCTTGTTGACCCTAAAAGCAATCAAAATTTAGCAGTGAAAATGATCATATTATGACCTCAATAAAAATTATGTATGCTGAAGTATTCATCAGCTGTGGCAAGTTTTATTGAAATCTGCACACAAAAAAAACTAGAATGGGTAGCATTTTTAAATGTTTCAGAGATTATTTAAGTTTAAATACTGTTTTAGTAACTATTGCAAAATTGATCATCCAAATAAATAAAAATCAAAGATAGAATTGAATATCTTAAATAATGCTGTCTATGTTTTTAACAAAGTTTTAATATCAAACAACTATAAGAATATATAGAAGGAATAAAAATTATCTTCACAAAAGGATGGAGAAACAGACAAACAAACAAACAAACAAAAGTAATCTTGACATCCAAAACTTCAAAAATCTATAAAATGATTGTTGACTGAATCTAGATCTATCAATCTAGTTTAATTTTGGTACAGTGAATTTGTCATTAATTACAAAACCAAGAGCACTAATTTCCTACAATACCAATACCACCGTCTAATACTGTATCACAATAACGTTGACCTAACAATAAGTAACATCATCCACCGTACAAAAAATATTTCTTCTTCATCTAGAAATTTTACCATCATTCAAACTTTCTGAAAAAGTAATCTTAAGGTATATAATCCTTCTGAAAAGGGAATAACTCTAGCATTCTTTTTTTCTAGTTAAATCTCACATTGAAGGGAAATGGTGCTTTGAAACTGCTTTCATTTTGATCATATGCTCTTATGGAAAATTAAAATGACTAATAAGAACATGGCTCCTCAGTGTAGTGCATACTGTAAACAGGGAAATTTTTGCTCCTGTTTTATTTTCAGTTCTTTCAGATCAGATGTGATCCCATCGACCACCAATTTGATTTTATAATTCGCCTGAATTTCCCCTTGTTGCATTTGGGCAAATTTAAAACAGGGCTAGTTTGCAAGTATGTGAAAGAAAATAACATGGGGTGATTATATAACCTTGTATACAGTATGTACCGGTCCATTAAGCCATACATGTAAATGGAATTGTATTATTGAGCAAAGTATTAAAAAAAAAAGACAATTATGCCATGTTTGATTACAGAGAATTCAAATCTTGATCCTTGACCTTTTCTATTTGATTGAACGTTGATTTAAAATCCTACTCTAGAGGTGCATTTGCTTTGAATAGAGGTACAGTGTGGCTGAAATTGTTCTGTAAGTTGTATCTGAATCAAAATTAAATGACTCTGTCCAAACCTCCCCTACAAAGATAACAAAGTTTAACATAATCTATTCGGGTCCATGTGATGTCAAGTGAAAAACCTGGAGTTGTTTTCATGTGTCTTCATGAGAATTACAGTGCAGATTCAAAAATACGGATTTTCAATCTATTGAATTCTATTTATTTTACTGTAATCAAAGGGAATGGCATTACAATGAACAAAAATATTTTTTTTTTAAATGATGAAACTGAAAGATGTATGTAGCAAATTTCTGTTGGTGATATTATACATTCGATTTTAAAATAATCGTAATATCAGATACTGAATTATTTGAAGTTAAAATTCAGTTCAATATTTTGTATTAAAATAAATGTTATCATAAATACATTGAAAAAAAAAACATTAATGCAGTTTTTTAAATAAGCTGAATGACGATTTGAATGATTTTGACTAATATATATTAAAATAATCATTTTCCATACATTGAATGTATAGGATTGAAAATATTTAATTTACTATCTCATTATATATATATGTAACTATATACAATTCATACATGTAATGATTGCATATGCAATTAGCTCTAAGAAAACACAATTTTCTTTCTTTTCCTCTTTGTTTAGCTGTTATTAACATCCTCGTACAACACTGGCCGACTTTGTGGAGGCTCACTACGAACACATGACACTGCATCTGCGTATTCCTCTGTTGGATTCATCGTATCTGCGTAAGTATCATCGTCATCCTCATTTTCAAATTCATAGTCATTTTGTTCTGGTTCTGATGATTTAACTTTTGTTGTTTCGTTTTCAGGAAATTCAGCACTTGCATAGTCCCCATCGTCAATATCCTCAATGTCTTTACCAGAATTTATTCCATAAATGTGATCATTAGGGATGACTGCATTTTTGGGTTTGGGCCCTTTGGGATTTGCTTTCAATTCCACACGGTCGTACATTTCGTCATCCTCATCGTATGGTCTATCTGCAATGTGAGGCAATTTTCCTCCATCTTTGGAAGCAGCATCTTTGATTTTTTTGTAATCTTCTTCGTGATGTTCGTTCAATGCTCCCTGATTACGCCAAGCCTCAGTCTTACCTTTGACTGGTTCTGCATAAACTGGTGGTTTAACACTAGGTGCTGGGTTCTTATTTTCACCAGCTTCATCATAAATTGGTTCAGATTTCTTATGTTTCACTGAAGCTTTACTGGATACTGGTAACACAGGTTCATCATACAAATCATTAGGTTCACTACATTCTAATTTGGGATTGTCTTTCTTTTCACTCTTATCCCTCTTCCATGGAAATGAGAACCCCCTCTTTTTCTCTTTGCCGCTACCCTCCTTATGAGGTTTGGGAGACGAGGGGTGGTTACTGATTTTTTCCTCCAAGGAGTGTTTGAAGTCGGCTGGTAAAGTAGAAGGAGTCTGGGTCCCATCGTCAGACTGGCTGTCTTTGGTAATTTCAATTTTCAATGAATTAGACGACTTTCTGGACAGTGGCTCTGAGGCCCTCTTGGCTGATTTTACCGATTCTCTGGACTTTTCTGCGACGTCTTTGTTTCCTGATTCCATGCCCAGCCTTGATGTCAGAGTTGTGGCTTGCTTGCTTTTTGTGGCATTGTCAATGGCTAGTGTCAGTGCTTTAGGATTTCCAACAACATGGAAATCAAAGCTTCCTTCTCCTGTCTCACAACGTCGTCCAGCTTCAATTGTGAATAAATTCCGAGACTTTGTAAATCCGTAGCGACGAATATACTCAAAATGCCACCTGCCCATAATTTCTCTCGTCTTTGTATCTTCAAGGCCTAGTGAAGCCATGGTAACAAATAGTTTATATTTTCCACAATTATTTAAATTGAGTCTTTTAGAACCTTCCGTTTCTTGCACAACAACATCAAACACTTGTGCTGCAAGAGAAGGAGAAACAAATTTCAAACGTCTTTATCATTTATTTTCAAATAACATAATTTTCATAATTTCTTAGCTTTTCAATGGTCTAATACTTTCCTATCATCTTTCATGTCCAATTTGGAGATTTAAGGAGTACATGTGAAATGTAATATGAACTTTAACCTGATTTCCAAGCGGGTACACAGTCCAGTAAGTTCTGGGGAGACTAGAGTTATGGGCCACAATGCTCACTTGAGTCTATTTCCTCTTCCTACACATATTTATCAATTAACAAAACCTCTTAGTGTTACAGACATCAAATTAAAGTCTATGATTTTAATAATTTTAACTAGACTTAGATTAAGGCTAATGATGCCATATTTACAAATTGTAGCCATGTTGCAGAAGTTACATATTTCTTCATACAACATTAACACCCTATTGCAGCCCAGTCCTTATATTTTGGTAACATGATTGCAACTTATTGAAATCTAAAGACCCTTCTTGGGGCATACTTAATAACTTAAGTGGTCCTATTGCTCTTGAAAAGTTTATATTTTCATATTTCCACACATCCAATTTAAAATGTCCATACACTCTTGTGTCACCAATATTCATGCACAAACTTAGACCTTAAGTGTAGATCAAATTGTCCCTTATTGTTACCTTGCTGTTCTTGACAAGGAGAAAATTAACTTTTATCAAGATATTTCCCTAAAACTTTATTCATATATTTATGCCCCAATCCCCAACTCCACTTGTTAATCACAGCCAACTCTGGGCCAAATTTAAGCAAATACAACTAAACATAAGGAAGCTTTGGCAAAATTTTCCTGCCCAATAGTTTTTGAGAAGACTTCCATAAAGGTCCCACCAATTTTAACAGTTTTAAATTTGAAGTTCTTAGGAAAAGAGTGTGGCCCTCAGTAGAACAATTTGAGTCCTCTTACCCTAGAGATAACTTCATGCCAAGTTAATGGCTGGCTCTGGGGAAGGAGTTGAAAAAATAAGTGAAATTTAATAGAAATGACTGCTGACACACAAACTTCAATCAGAAGAGCTTGTATATAAGGCTCAGCTGACAAAAGATTGTCATTGCTAATAGATTCCCAAAGTCCAACCATTTTTAGGCCTCTATGTAAGTCACATTCTCTACCATGATCAAGGATATTCGAAGAAATTTGGAAACCCAACCGCTCATTCCTTAAGTATTTTTACCCTGGATATTTCAAACCCTCGGATATCTCTAAGTATTTTCTTGATCCCATCAAGTTTCAGATAACAAGGTTTGACTGTATTAAATAGTAAGTTAAGGAAATGCGGAACAGAAAGTTGCAACTGTGAGGTTTCAACGTATATTGGCAGGTTAAAAGACCTGTCATTAGAAATTCATCAGACAGATTGTTGCTAGAACTATAGATTCCTAAAAATATGAATGGTACGTATTATCAAGGAATTTGTGAGATGCACCACTCACTCAATAGAATTATTCACTTATTTTCAAGACATTTCATGATACTGCTGAAATGCATGTAAAAACTCTAGCTAAACAGTTCACTTATGAATACATGTTCTAGCAATTGACATCTTCAAGTCATTTTATAATATTAAGGACAGATGATACAAACTTAGACTTTTGTCAAATACCTTGAAAATAACAACTTAAATCGTGTTCAAAGGAGTAAAACAAATAACTTTAACTGCATAGATTTTCATTTTTCATTCAAAGTTTTACAATAACTGGATTGAAGGTGACGAAAATTTGTATAGATTAATAAAGATGGTTGCAGAAAGGTTGAATTTTGAACAACAATTTCTTAATATTTTAGAAATTTATTATTTGCATCATTTACAACCAAAATAGGTCCAAAAATATATACTGTACCAATCCTGGGGTATCCATTTTTTGTTTGTATCATCTGTCCTTAAATACTCATGTAATATAAGGAATCTACAGTAATTATTTCAACATTTATTTCATCAACGTAAGACAATGAGTCGTTGATGGTAGTATAATAGGTCTTCCTGGGTTTGAGAACTGTACCTAATTAAAACTAAAACAGATTATATGACAAATATACATGTAGTAAAGGAAATCACCTTTTATTATTTCCTTCACAGAATATATATAAAAATAAAAAAAACCTCCCCAGAATAAAACAAATGATTTTGACCTACCACTGTCCTCCGATTCGTAAAGAAAGTTTTCCTTTAATTCGTCCTCCTCGTAGGAATCCATATTGATAGCCTGAATGATGGCATCATGCCACTGGGCCAGGACTTCACGATTTTCAAACATCAGACACAGCTTTTCTTTCTTAAATGGAATGTCAATGTAGAATTCTCTGGCTTGGTTTCTTTCCACTTTGTCCAAATCTCCTTCCTTGAGATTTTCCAGAGAGTAGCGTTTTGGTTTGTGTTTTGGGCTGGGGTTCTCATAATGGCTGCGGTTTTCATATGCTTCAATGTAGCTCGCATCTTTCTCATCCCCAAGGCAGATGATGAGGTATTTATTTTTCTTACTCTACAAAATTTTTTTAAAAACATAACATACTGTAAATGTAATCTATTTTGTGGAAATTAAGTTTTTGACAATTGATTAATAGCACATTTCTGAATGAGCTTATTAATGATAAATATTCAAGACATTTAGTGATGTACTAGATTTAGCGGAAGCAGCTTTCCGTGAAAGGTGCTAAAAAGAATACACAGCCAAATGCAATATTGACAGTATATTCCAATAAATTATTTACTGTGCATTCATGTTTTAAAACTATAATGTTCATAATACGTAATTTCCAGTCTATGAGGGCCTTCAAATATTACATATGTACTGTTACTTCTATTTTAAAATAAGTACATGTAATAGAAAATTAACATGGCAAAAGCTGATCGATGGCAGACTGTTTCATCATTTCAGCAGAAACATGAAATTAATTTTTATGTCTACGATTTCAGCAAGGGTAGATATAAGCCTTAACACTGTTCAAATAAGTGTTTTAATGGAACATTTAGACAACATCAGGATCACTGCAAGGTACGTGGGATGTTTTCTTCTCGGAAAGAGAATTCTGAACCACACAATTCTGCATAAGTGTTACCATGTTTACAGAATTTCTAACATTCCTTTTAGAAATTATAAAATGTCCTTCTGCATGGTCGATACATCACTGCATGGCATTGACTTACATAAAATCACGGTGTGTATAGCAGTGACTTTTTTAAATTTTAAATGAAAAGTAAAGGTTTTAAACATTTAGTTGTTGCCTTTTATGTTTTTCATCCACAACAGACATCACCAAGATACTTAGCTAATGTCTAGTATGTAATTTTTTAAAGGACTTATCGCATGATTTTTCAAAAATCTTAATTTTATGAAAAATATTATCTACAACCTTTTTTATTAAAATTCTGAATACAATAAACGTTGTTGAAAGCATATTTTAAGAGATATTGAGAGTTGAAAGTCAAATACGGCAATATGCATATTTCAGTCGGATTTCGGCGAAATACTGCTCTGACGTCATGGGCGACAATTCAGTGATAGAGAGATGAGAAGTTGCACACTATTTACGAAGTTATCAACGACAAATGCAGATTAATTATGAAAAATGCTGAAAAAATTAATTCCTACCGTGATTTTCAATTACTATAGAAACATTAACTAGTCCTAAGGTATAAGAATTTTGAGATATTTTAGTTTTTTATTCCAAACATTTAGAATCTGTAGATCTGATTACGGCAATGTTTCGTGATCGGAAAATTATTTTTCAAGACCGCCATCCTTTACAAAACATATGAAAGCATACTTGCATAAATTAATATCATGTTAAAAACGAAGAATAACAAAGTTATGTAATATTAAATTTGTGAATCAAATAAGTGAATACATGTGATAAAATGACAAATCAAATTGTATTGTGATGGCGAGTTTCTTCGTCTTCGCCGCGTCTCCCTCGCTATCGTCGCTGCTATTTTTACAATGTTAACGGATTTTTCAGATTATTTCTTGCTGACAATTCTAAAATATAAGGTTGGATATGAAATTTCATATCGATAAAATCAGTGATTTGGTCGTCCATAACGCAGAAAATTCAGGTTGTATCGCGTATATTTTAGTAAGATTTACGTGAAGAGCTGATCAGCCATTGTCGCCTTTGACGTCACAGGGTCACGTGATCGCTATCTAATTAACTTAGATTTTTAATTATGGGGTCTCCATTTGGGTCAATAATTGGTTAATTACCGCGGTTTAATCGGCAGTAAAAACACAAAATTTATAAACTGTGGTCATAAGGAACGTTTTACGCTTTTAATTTCAAATAATTTAGAAACATGCGATAAGTCCTTTAATAAGCTCTTGTATAAAATGAAACAGTTAACCATGTTTACAGAATTTAGAATCTTAATTGTGTTACACAATTCACTCAAGTTTTTATTCTTGTTAGAAAAAAATGTGGGAGGAATAGTAACTTAAGTTAAACATAGTGACATTAAACAGATTTTTCATTATTTAGTATTGCTGACCGCAACTATATATATATATATATATAATTATGTATGTATATAAAAATATGAATACATATATATATATTATATATATATATATATAGAGAGAGAGAGAGAGAGAGCAAAAGGCCATGATTTATAAAATTTAAGTAAATTTGATAAATGATACATCAAGTTTTAATTTATCTCACAGCATGACAAAATAATGTATGGTCAACAGAATAGATTTACCAGTTACATCCTTTATTAAATGGTGGGCGTATACCAACAAGGAGGGTGGGTCTCGATATATGATACATGTAGCTTTTTTTCAATTACTGTTTTACCGATAAACTTTGAATTTTTTTTTCCATATGTGTCTTTCATGATTAAATTGTTTTTCTTTTTTTTAATTTGATATCAATTACGACAGGACAGCTTTGGGAATTTTCCCCTTAAATATTAATAAAAAGGATCATGACTCAAGCTTGAAACTGAACTATATAATACATGACCTTGTACATTAATAACTAACCCATTAGCATTATAATTGTGTCATCCTAGTACTTTGTAAACAGACTAGGTAAACACAATAAATAAATTTTGTCTTTTCTAATTCTTCAAAAGTTTTTCCTTGTCTGTGTGAATCTATCTCACCCTCAATTTAATGTACTGTCGACTTGTTCTTCCTTGTTCATGTTATAAACTTGGGAAAAGGAATTTCATTGTACTGCATATTTGAAAAATAAATATAAATATCCTCATATCATAATTTAGAATTAATACAAAAAGCTTAAAATTAAAATAAATTATGTCTTATCATCAAGTGTTACCTTGTACATGTAACTCAAAGAAATTAAATTAATATGATACATGTATTAATAAAAGTTTGTTTAAAGTACTCGCACTTTCCTGCATACTAGGCTAAGAATGCAATGATTTTTAAAGTATTTTGACCTAATATTACTGATGAAAAAAAGAATTCAACAAGAACAAATATAAGCATTAAAAGCTTGGGGGAGGGGGGACCCTCTAATTATTGACACTAAGTAAAATCTTACAAATTCTGTGCAAAATTGAGATCCGTACATCTATTTTTTATCCCTTTTTTACATACTATGACCATAATAATCACACCAAACACATTTAATTCAAGATTAAGAATGATGCAAAGCATGAAAATGGCCAGAAAAATTAAGCATTTTATAGTATTTTCACAAAAAGAGTACATTTGTCAAGAAAATCACAAAATTTTAATTGTCAAAAAGAATAAAAAATTTTCTCCCAAATAACTGAGTATAGAACAAGATCAGAGAAAAAAATATACAAATTGCAAGATTAAAAAGAATTAACATGAACCATTTATATTTTTTATTTAGTGCATTTTTTAATCAAAAAAAAATTACTTCATTGAAACGAATATCAGTCATGAATGATAACAACGTTACTTTCATCAAAATGAAGATCTGAAGACTTTTAAATGAAAAATAAACAGATAATGTGCCCTGGATCTTTCCAATTAATTGTCAAATGGTGATGCCAATGATTTCTGCAGAATATGCTGAAAATGGCCCATTGATGGACAACACAATAAATGCCAATTAACATGATTAAGTGTAGAAAAAAAAAATTGTTCTGTCATTCACCATGTTCACAGCTTGTTGTAGCATATATTTGAAATAAATTTTACTTGTTATTTTTAATTTTTATTTTTGTCATTAATAGTCGGAGACTTAAATAACAATTTGCATTCATATCTAATGCAAGAATACCTCCCGCCCCCCCCCTTTTTTTTTTTTTATAAAATTAAAAACAATAAATATCTGGTGAAAATTAATAAAACTGAAACATAATGCATTGTAATAACATCTGAGACTTAGTATTATCAAGTTTTTAATATATTTTACTCATAACTTTTATATGGCATTATTCTTCCTAATCTAATTTTAAAAAATAAAGTCTCGTTTCCTGATGTGCACTTTCTAGTCATGCAACACAACTACATTCAAACAGATCGGCCACTCCACTGAGGCTGATAATAAAAATGGATTTGTAGAATGTTACAGTCACTTAAATGCTTTAAGTGAATTATTGGCACTTAATACACTGCACTTAAAAATGCTAAAAATGCCTCCATATAAGTATAAAAATAAATATAATAGCATGTGAATGTGGACATACTGTATCACACTGTGAAATGTCATACCAAGTAAGAGCAAGCATCCTTAAGGTGAAACATGGTTGATCATTTTCAGAGAAGACATAACCCATCTTCAACTCTTTATAACATAAAATGTTTATATGTTCACAGAATGGTATGAGATTTCCCTAATAAATTAAATCTATTAAACATTTTTAAAGCAAAATTATATAAAAAACTGAACTATGTCATTAATGAGCTATATTATAATTAAGGAACTATCCAAAGGAAAAAGATATTTCTGTCCTATCGTGGCTTATTGGATCCTCATTCATAATCAAGGCACACTTTAATTAAATGATCATTTTGTCCTGCACAGCTATTATCTATTAATCTTTACACCTATTAAATGGAAGGTTTTTCTCCTCTGCGATCTCATGCCATTTTAATTATGTTCCATCTCTAAATGTTGCATGATAAGACAAAATGCGTTCAAAACCAAACAAAGACCAATTTACATAATATAAATATCTTAAGCAAGATAGTATATATATATATATATATACATTTATGACTTTTTTATCATATAGTACATTTCTGCCACTGAAACTGAATTTCTCAATGTTCAATCAAGTAAAATTAACAAAAATTTAGACTTCTGAATTTTAACAACACTTTCCTTACATAGAACAAGTAGAAAATACACAAGAAATCACTGACTCACTGTGAGACTTTATATAAATCATAATATAACGAAATCTTGATTGCATCTACATAATTATAAACCACAATGGCATGCTCCTCCAAATCACACTAGACAGCAATATAGGTAGTCTACAATCAATGTTCAATTGGTTCCTGGAGTCCCCTGGGTCATGATAGAAGGGACCAGAAGC